TATAGTGACTTCGCATGTTATCGACCTCTTGGCTCTCTCCATTTAATCTCAATCTCACACGTACTGTTCATTGTGTTCTTACAACATGCCAGATTTCTATATAGTGCCACAGCATGGTTTTTACTGTCTCTGAATAAAAGAGAGCAGGACCCGAGGCCATTCGTCAGAGAGGGAAGACATCTGAGGTCCATGTGTTGAGTGGCTGGGGGAGGACATCTGTCCTTATAAATGTCCCACTGAGATCATCTCTAATATTTCACACCAAAACACATCAGGAGAGAGAGATGTGTGTGCGTGCAAGTGAATGCATACTTGATCAACCTAAAATGTTTGATTCTGCTCATTTACATAGGCTACTTGATGATACCTGAGGGCTGGGCATGGCACATCAAAACAGCAACAGCTCACAGGAGACAATATCAGAATCCTTATCAATGCACTATACTGCACAGATGCCTGAATGAAGATTTTGGAGCCTGTGTAGACAGCCTTGTCCTGCACAGCACTGCCCATAAAAACAGTGTGTGCTAGAGAGCACACCACAAGCATTTAGGTTATGACTGTATTTCAATATGATGAACTCCAAACACTGAATATGATGAACTACAAACACTGAATACAGTGGGGAAAAAAAGTATTTAGTCAGCCACCAATTGTGCAAGTTCTCCCACTTAAAAAGATGAGAGAGGCCTGTAATTTTCATCATAGGTACACATCAACTATGATGCTCTACAAAAACTGAATATGATGCTCTGCTACCTACTGCATGATGCACTGTACTTCTACATTGTGTTCTAGGCTCTAGATCTAGGGTTCTATATCAATGCCCACTTTTTTAAACCAGCTTTGCTTGTATTTGTCAAGATTTCAAACATACAATCTGACCTCCAGCTCAAGGTCTCCTCATGCTGATATGGTGGAATAACTTCAGTTTGTTGTCAATGGAAATGCACATAATGACCCTGAGTGCTTCAATCATATACAATGAGGGGAAAAAAGTATTTGATCCCCTGCTGATTTTGTACGTTTGCCCACTGACAAAGACTTGATCAGTCTATAATTTTAATGGTAGATTTATTTGAACAGTGAGAGACAGAATAACAACAACAAAATCCAGAAAAACGCATGTAAAAAAAATTATAAATTGATTTGCATTTTAATGAGTGAAATAAGTATTTGACCCCTCTACAAAACATGACTTAGTACTTGGTGGCAAAACCCTTGCTGGCAATCACAGAGGTCAGACGTTTCTTGTAGTTGGCCACCAGGTTTGCACACATCTCAGGAGGGATTTTGTCCAACTCCTCTTTGCAGATCTTGGCCCGTCCATCGTCCCTTTGATGCGGTGAAGTTGTCCTGTCCCCTTAGCAGAAAAACACCCCCAAAGCATAATGTTTCCACCTCCATATTTGACTGTGGGGATGGTGTTCTTGGGGTCATAGGCAGCATTCCTCCTCCTCCAAACACGGCGAGTTGAGTTGATGCCAAAGAGCTCAATTTTGGCCTCATCTGACCACAACACTTTCACCCAGTTCTCCTCTGAATCATTCAGATGTTCATTGGCAAACTTCAGATGGCCCTGTATATGTGCTTTCTTGAGCAGGGGGACCTTGCGGGCGCTGCAGGATTTCAGTCCTTCACGGCGTAGTGTGTTACCAATTGTTTTCTTGGTGACTATGGTCCCAGCTGCCTTGAGATCATTGACAAGATCCTCCCGTGTAGTTCTGGGCTGATTCCTCACCGTTCTCATGATCATTGCAACTCTACAAGGTAAGATCTTGCATGGAGCCCCAGGCCGAGGGAGATTGACAGGTCTTTTGTGTTTCTTCCATTTTCGAATAATCGCACCAACTGTTGTCACCTTCTCACCAAGCTGCTTGGCGATGGTCTTGTAGCCCATTCCAGCCTTGTGTAGGTCTACAATCTTGTCCCTGACATCCTTGGAGAGCTCTTTGGTCTTGGCCATGGTGGAGAGTTTGGAATCTGATTGATTGATTGCTTCTGTGGACAGGTGTCTTTTATACAGGTAACAAGATGAGATTAGGAGCACTCCCTTTACGAGTGTGCTCCTAATCTCAGCTCGTTACCTGTATAAAAGACACCTGGGAGCCAGAAATCTTTCTGATTGAGAGGGGGTCAAATACTTATTTCCCTCATTAAAATGCAAATCAATTTATAACATTTTTGACATGCGTTTTTCTGGATTTTTTTGTTGTTATTCTGTCTCTCACTGTTCAAATAAACCTACCATTAAAATTATAGACTGATCATTTCTTTGTTAGTGGGCAAACGTACAAAATCAGCAGGGGATCAAATACTTTTTTCCCTCACTGTAAATTACATTCCATTAAATTCAGACCCTTGTCAATACAATAGGCCGGGTATTATATCAATACAGGCTGTGATGAAGAATCTTTTTGTTTCTCCAAGCAATAAACTTAAATATTTGTAGTGTGTGGGCAAATAGCCTAGTTTGTGACAAGTACTTGAAGCTTAATCACACTTTAACGTTAGGCTACAGATCTCGAGAAGATAATCTAAATACAATATGGGCTGCTAAAGTAACATGTTATGCATTCTTCATCATACAGAAACGGACCAAAATTGCAACATTTTTACTCACATGACCATAATTGGAAGACATGACCCTCTACCACCATCTGCTGGTAGACCAAGCAACTTACACCCAGACTAAGAACTGGAACAGAGATTGTTTACTACATTTACGTCATTTAGCAGACGCTCTTATCCAGAGCGACTTACAAATTGGTGCATTCACCTTATGATAGCCAGTGGGACAACCACTTTACACTTTATCTAGCTAGCTACTTTGTCTTCTGGGAACATGACTGGAAAGTCTGCACAAAAGGTGTTTGTGTCGCTCACATGTTATCTTTTGTGCCCATTTAAGCTGTGACAATGTCTCGTCTTAATCACCTTTTGTTGTAAGAAATGAAAAGGGTTGAAAGAATAACAGAAGAGTATTATTAGAAAGTCCTCAATTTAAAGGGACATGAATTCAAACCTGTTCTTCTTCTTCTTGCCGGTCCGCAAACAAACATTTAAAGTGCATGCCGCCACCTACTGTCCTGGAATGTACGATCAATCATGATCTGCCCAATTCTGTACTTCCATAAAAAATATATCAAAACCAAATAAATCCCTACTAACTTCTACCACACCCTCCCCAACCCCATTAAACTTGATCTATATCATGCTGAAACACTCCACCCTTAGGATTGTTCAGCATGTTAACAATCATTTCAACAGTAACATCTGTTACCCCCAATATCTCTTTTGCCATCTCCACAATAACCTTCAACCTGGCATTTCTGCTTTCCAAAACCAGAGTCGTGTTGATAACCTTACCAATAAAAGCTATGAAGTCAACTTTATTCATTATTAAAGTGTCCTTTGACACCGCACATTCATGAGCACAAGATTTCTGAACAGGCCTCGAAACCATGCCAGGACCATCAGAAGCACCAGCCCTGACAGTAGGTCCACTTACTACAGGTACATCCATGTAAGCTCCATCAGTCCGCACTGTAGTTCTACCAATCTGTCTTACAGCCTCTGCATACTATACATTATGACTGATTGTATATCTCTGAGCCACTCTCTTCACCTGGCATCCACCAAATGCTGCACTATGTTGTTGTTGTCCCTCCCCCCCACCCCACAATTACAACACTTAACCTTATAATAATAAATAATATGCCATTTAGCAGACGCTTTTATCCAAAGCGACTTACAGTCATGCGTGCATACATATTTTTATTTTTTTTGTGTATGGGTGGTCCCGGGGTTCGAACCCACTACCTTGGCGTTACAAGCGCCGTGCTCTACCAGCTGAGCTACAGAGGACCACAACCTTCACATTGCTCCCACATTCACCATAATCATGTTCCCCTCCACACTTGAAAATCTTTTATTTCCTTTACACTGAACAGCTACATGTTCCATTATTTGGCATTTAAAACACTGCAATGGGGATAGGACGAATTCTCTGACATTGAAACTAAGGATTCCTATCTGTACTTTTCCAGGAAAAACCTTCTCAAACCTCAGCAGCACTGATAAGCTTTCACTTCTTTGAGCCACTTTCCTACTGCTCAACCTTTTGACCTCAATCACTCTACCTCCCTTCACATTTTCTTAATATCACCTGTGTACATAGATATTGGGACCCCAGTGATGACTCCCCCCAACCTATCATAAGCACCTGGGACATGGCTTTTAATCTTCTTCCCATTAAATGTACATGTGCATAATCTTCCCTTGCTGAGCCTGGCTACCACAAAATATGAACATTTCCAATGAACCGGGCTAATTTGACTTCACCCATTTCATTCTCTACAGCATTAGTTAGTCGGATAGGGTGCAAATGAGGCCCTGTGGTCTCATCAAACACCATCAACACTTTCCACCCCTGACACATTATTACTCTTGCTTCCTACCTTGGCCCTCTTTATGCTTTCTTTACTAGATGCTCTACTGCTTTCAGTATCATGATCTCTCTTCTTCCTATGTCTTTCCACTACAGACCATTCCGGTCATCGACCCTCATCCTTCTGCTCCATATCATCAGAATTGACACCCATATTGTTCGCATTCCAGCACAGCTATTGCTTCTCCAACCTTTTCTCAATTTCCTCAATTTCGTCCACCCTACTCACTGCTCGCTAGCTACGTCCAGAACCACATGTTGCCAAGGTTGGTGTTGCCTGAAAACTTCCGGGACGTCATGGCGTTGTAACATTCGTCATACCACGTTTACCCAATCATATCTGATGTTCTAACCCGCTTAGCCAATAGAAAATTAGGTTGAACAAGTCTAGTCGATCAACTCTAAAGAGCAAACCGCAGCTTTGTAGATCTATAAACAACATGAACCCACTCATACCAATATCAATGAGTGATTTGGGTCAATACATGTATTGGTTTATCTGTCATTTGCGCAGATGACGCAACGTTTACATGTCCACTTCAATTTTAATGTGTCAACTACAGCAGTACGGTCGGCATGAGAGGACATGGTTGTGTAACTAACCAAATCGTGATAATTTGTTGATAGTAAAGCTGTTCAGAGCATAGTATTCTGATATGCACGTGTATGGATAAATACCCATTAGATTTATTGTCGCTAAATTAAGGAAATAATGTTTAGGCAGAGTAAAACAGTTCTCCAGAAACTTCGATATCTAAGGTGAGTAGCTAGCTAGCCAGTTAAATACTGTAACGTTATATTCAAACACCTTTCCTTCAGTGGTGTCAAGTATATCTATGCTTTCCTTACACGCAGGTAAACATGTATAGCTGTCTTCTCGCACTGTGTTCTGCTGTCTAGAACGGCATCTAAACAAATGTATAGCAGCTGATGCAAGCCAGCAATTGTCTCTCTCTTGGCAAATCCAGTTTCCAGGGGCTGAATCCATCATGGAGGTTCAGGAGCACCTCAGCAACAGAGAGAGCATTGCAGTACCAGGCAGGACAGAAGATCCATGGCTTCACAGTCAAGGAGGTAAACTGTCCAGCTCATCACATTATTCACCACAGTGTTTCTCAATCATGGTCCTGGGGACCCAAAGGGGTGCAAATTGTTTGCCTTAGCACTAAAACACCTGATTCCACTAATCAAACGCAAAAACAAAAATGTGTATCCCTTTGGGACCCTAGGATTGGGAAACACCGATCCACAACAAGAAGAACACCCTGATTCTGATCAGCTTCACATAAACTTCTAGTCAAGGGTTAGTGTAAGGTCAAGATAAAATGTGATATTATCTTCCTGTATTTCTGCAGGTGGTTGCTGTTCCTGACCTGTTCCTTACGGCTGTCAAATTGACCCATGACAACACAGACGCCCAGTATCTACACGCAGCTAGAGATGACAAAAACAATCTCTTTAGGTAATAATCCCACATTTGTGGAAGTGGAGTGTGCTTTATTTGGATAAGGTCAAATGTAATTTGGATTAGGTCAAATGTAAACTTGTCCCCAGGCTCAATTGCTACCGTGACAGAGAGAGAGTGGGCTGATGGAAGAGATTAGATAAAATTAAATGTACTCGTTTAATAACAAAATTATTTTAAGCCAGAGCTTTTTGTAATGACAGGTTTTCCTTCTCTTGTCCTAACACCTTTGCAGTGTTCAGCTCAGGACGACCCCGATGGACAATACAGGGGTTCCACACATCCTGGAACACACAGTGTTGTGTGGCTCAGAGAAATACCCCTGCAGAGACCCCTTCTTTAACATGCTCAACAGATCACTCTCTACCTTCATGAACGCATTCACAGGTACTGTGTGTGTATGTGTGTGTGTGTGTAACAGTGTTGCTCCCGTCCCTCTCCTCGCCCCTACCTGGGCTTGAACCAGGGACCCTCTACACACACCGACAACAGTCACCCTCAAAGCACCGTTACCCGTCGCTCCACAAAAGCCGCGGCCCTTGCAGAGCAAGGGAAACAACTACTTCAAGGTCTCAGAGCGAGTGACGTCACCGATTGAAATGCTACTAGCGCGCACCGCTAACTAGCTAGCCATTTCACACCGGTTACATGTGTGTGTCTGTGTGTGTGAATGGTGTCTAAAATCATTGTTTTTAATTCACAGCCAGTGATTTCACCATGTATCCATTCTCCACACAAAACGAGAAAGACTTCCAGAATCTCCTCTCTGTGTATCTGGATGCAGTGTTTTTCCCTTGTCTAGGGGAACTAGATTTTCGGTAAGTGTGATGTTTAAATAGATGCCTCTTTAATCATAATCAGTGATATCAGAAGTCTGGTATTCACACCCTTGTCCTCAATGTGTTTCATTAAAGGCAGGAGGGATGGAGACTGGAGAATGAAAACCCTACAGATCCTAGTTCCCCTTTGGTCTTCAAAGGAGTTGTCTTCAATGAAATGAAGGGTGCTTTTGTGAGTTATTTATTTCCCAACTATTAAGAGATTTTTTATTAGATTTATTGTAATTATTTTGTGGGAATTAGGCTATGTTAATTACAGAATCATTTGCTCAGGAGATGGACAAATGGATGTCATATTGGAGTCTTACATTTCCTCTCTGTATGTGATTTCAGTCAGACAATGAGCAAGTGTATGCCCAGCACCTCCAGAACAAGCTGTATCCTGACCACACATATGGTGTGGTGTCTGGAGGGGAACCTCTGGCCATCCCTGACCTCTCCTGGGAGCAACTCAAGCACTTCCACGCCACACACTACCACCCCAGCAACGCAAGGTACAGTCTAACACGCTGCCACACTAGCTACTGCTCCATACTAGCAACACACTGTAAAGGACATTGTGATACACCATGACCTGTACAGTACACTGTCACACATTACCACTTAGCAATGCACGGCACAACACTGTCACACACCCCAATATTAAATACTCGGTACGGTCGCACTGTGTCTTGTCACACAACTCTGTTGGGCCTTGGCAGTAACAGGGTTTCCCCTTTTCTGCTCCTCAGGTTCTTCACCTACGGGGACCTGCCCTTAGAGCAGCACCTGAAACAGATCCAGGAGGAGGCTCTTTCCAAGTTTGAACGCACTGAGCCTGACACTGCTGTCCCTAACCAACTCCATTGGGACAGGCCTGTGAGTCTGCCCATTTAGTGTCATTGTAGCTCAGTCAGTACCAGCTGTCAGATATTAGTTCATTCATTATCAGCTCCCAGATATTCAAAATCTATGCTCTCAACTTGAGCAACTTTGGCAAGGTCTATGGTTTGGAAGTTTGAATTAATTTAACTGTAATTGCTTATTTGAATGATCTTGATGATAAGGTGCTGTTTGATGATGTTTTAATGTCTGTTTTTTTATGTGTGAAGCCAAAGATACATTTCCACATTGTGTGGACAATAACGTTTTTATAATTATTGTAATTCTAATGGATTTGTCCACAGAGAGAGGACCATGTGACCTGCAGTCCCGATGCTATGGCTCCTGATGCAGCCAAACAGAACACACTGTGTATGAGCTACCTGCTAGGAGAGTATGTAATACTGGTCTACTGCAACACCAACATTTGTTTCTCTAAAATTGTGTCTGGGATAGTATACATTGGTCAGTTTTAAAGTGACTGTAACCTCAATTGGTGCATACCGTGATTTCCACATGCATTTTGGTCATTTAGCTTCAAATCAGTAAGTGATAATGTAGTGGTCTCATTCATGTGTTCTTCTCTCTGCAGTATCACAGATACGTTTGAGGGCTTCACCCTGAGTCTGCTGTCCTCTCTGATGGTCTCTGGACCCAACGCTCCCTTCTACAAGGCCCTTATAGAACCCAAGATAGGAACAGACTTCTCTTCTGTCGTAGGGTATGTTCAAGTGGGAGGTGTTTAGAACTCACTTTGTTACATGAGAACAACATTGTCATAGTATGCTGGGGAGCAATGAAATAAATGTTGTTTAAAGTTTTTACCTTTTGAGTGAAACAGTATATACTTAATTTACCAGTGTATATATATTTTTCAGATATGATGGGAGCACCAAAGAGGCATCGTTCAGTATTGGCTTACAAGGAATGGCCGAAGAAGATATAGAGAGAGTCAAGCAAATCATCATCCAAACCATTGATGAGATCATTGCGTAAGTACACTTGCTGCTAATGTTTCTTGTAACTTTTTTCATTACAATAATGCCATGTCATCTAACTGTACTTCCCTCCTAATGGTACAGTAATGGATTTGAGGAGGAGAGGATAGAGGCCCTGCTTCATAAGATTGAGATCCAGATGAAACATCAGTCTACCAGCTTCGGCCTGTCTCTGGCCTCGGTGAGTACAGTACAAGGCCCCAGCATGACTAGTGTCTCCCCTGTGCTATTTTAACCATGAACAAGTCATTGAAAAGTCCCTAAACACACACATGCACACCCTATACAGAGATTAAATGTGCAGGGAATTAAATTGTACAGTGAGCTCCTAAAGTATTGGGACAGTGACACATTATTTGTTGTTTTGGTTCTGTACTCCAGCACATTGGATTTGAAATGATTTTACATTTACATTTTTAGTCATTTAGCAGACGCTCTTATCCAGAGCGACTTACAGTTAGTGAGTGCATACATCATTTTTATTTTTCATACTGGCCCCCCGTGGGAATCGAACCCACAACCCTGGCGTTGCAAACGCCATGCTCTACCAACTGAGCAACATCCCTGCCGGCCATTCCCTCCCCTACCCTGGACAACGCTGGGCCAATTGTGCGGCGCTCCATGGGTCTCCCGGTCGCGGCCGGCTACGACAGAGCCTGGATTCGAACCAGAATCTCTAGTGGCACAGCTAGCACTGCGATGCAGTGCCTTAGACCACTGCGCCCCTCAAAGGGTGCCAGCTTTGCAACCCATCTCTGCTCGCATGCATCGTCTCGTCTTTGTAAGAATATATTTGAGTGGATTGTTGTCGGTCCACACAGTAAACTTATGCCCTCGCAGCCAATGGCTGAATTTATCATGAGTGGCCCATTTCATGGCTAGAAATTCCAGCCGGTGAGCAGGATACTTGGATTGTGCATGATTAAGAGATTTACTAGCAAAAGCTATCGGCCTGGCTATGTCCTTCCCATCTTGCACTTGTGATAGTACAGCTCCCAAACCACTAGTAGATGCATCCACGGAAAGTAGAAATGGCTGAGTAAAATCTGGATGAACCAGCAGTGCCTGGTCAACTAGTGCTGATTTCAAAGCTTCAAAAGCGAGTCGACATTCGGCAGTCCAGTCTGCAGCAGTGAGCCTGCGAGGGGGACCAGGCCTCTTCCTACCCTTGCCTCTCCTAGGCTTCTTCTGACCTGTAGTTAGCTGAAACAATGGCCTAGCAACCATGAAACAATTCTCAATGTAGTGCTGATAGTATACTACCATACCAAGGAAATAACCTATTTTGATAGGAGACGGTGTGACACCATCAGCTTCCATTATCTCACTCTGTCACATTCAAAATGGTTTGAACTTTAGCAGGGTCAGTGGCTACACCCTCCTGAGAAATGATGTGGCCCAAAAACTTAACAGACCTCCTCAGAAACTTGCACTTAGACGGAGACAGTTTAAGGTTGTGCTCCTGCAACAGCTGAAAAACCATCTCAAGTCTCTGCAGACTCTCTTCCTCCGTCTTAGCAAAAACCATCAGATCATCCAAGTAACAAAGGAGACTTAGAACGTTTTGGTCACCAAAGATGGTCAGCATCATTCTCATAAAAGTAGCCGGGCTGTTGCAGAGGCCCTGAGGTAACCGATTGTACTCGTGCAGACCTAAAGGGGAGGAAAAGGCAGTGTATTTCTTGTCCTCTTCATGCAGTGGCACGTTGTAATACCCTGACGTCAAATCCATTGTGCTGAAGAAGGCATTACCTCCCAGCGCGGCCAGTACATCAGCCTGATGAGGCAGGGGATGAGCATCCTTTACTGTGCGGGCATTTAACCACCTGAAGTCAGTACATAGGCGCAAGTCCCCATTCTTTTTCCATACCAGCACCAATGGTGAGGCATACTCGCTGCTGGATTTTCTGACGATTTCCTTTTCCTCCATATCATCCAGTGTTTCCCTGAGTTTTTGGTAATGAGCTGGAGACAGCCTACGATAAGGTCATCGAAATGGGCGGTCATCAGTCAGCCGTATGCGAAGGCAGAACTCCTTTGCCTCGCCACAATCTAGGCTATGTCTAGAGAACACTGTGTCATACTTCCCAATTAAGTTGACAAGTTTATCTTTCCAGAACTGTGAAACTGGACACTCCTCAACAGACAGGCCTTGAAGTCCAAGATTCCTCAGTGTACTGTTGCCATTATCTACACTGCCACCAACTGAACTCTTAGCTGTCAGACTGCCATGTGATCTGTCACATTGAGCCTTTGCCACATTCTGATGAGCTGCTTGCTGCTTGACATCATTAAAATACTCCAATGCAATGCAAGGGTACACATCCGCCACTTTAGCATTTCGTCTCAGGGTAACTGGCGATGTTGTTGGATTCACAATCTTCACAGGGAGCCATCCATCCCCCCACAGAGGCGTAACTACTCTCCCCACTAGTATGTGTCGATTCACACAACGAGACGTGCTGGGCTCGACAACAACAGTACTGCCCACAGAGAGTTTTGTCTTTGGGGGTAGGCGGCCCCACACCAGATGCTCACTCATGGGTTGGAGCGTTACTGCTCTCTTCAACTTAATGGTGCCCACTTTATCTGGGATGGAGGCACTCTGTCAACTTACATTTGAGGGTATTTTCATCCATATCGGGTAAACCGTTTCGAAATTACAGGACTTTTTGTATATAGTCCCCCCATTTTAGGGGACCAAAAGTATTGGGTCAAATTACTTATGTGTATTAATGTAGTAAAAGTTAAGTATTTGGTCCCATATTCATAGCACGCAATGACTACATCAAGCTTGTGACTACAAATTTGTTGGATTCATTTGCTGTTTGTTTTGGTTGTGTTTCAGTTTATTTTGTGCCCAATGTGTCATTTTGGAGTCACTTTTATTGTAAATAAGAATAGATATGTTTCTAAACACTTCTACATTAATGTGGACGCTACCAATGTTATGGATAGTCCTGAATGAATCGTGAATAATGATGAGTGAGAAAGTTAGATGCACAGATTGTATCATTTCAAATCCAAAGTGCTGGAGTACAGAGCCAAAACAACCAAAAATGTGTCACTGTCCCAATACTTTTGAAGCTCACTGTATATAAAGACAGACTCAAGAATATCCATAGTGATTGTCCTGGGAGCAGCTCCTGTATACGGTATGACCTCTGGTAAGTGTACTATTCCGTTAGTCAGCACCTCTCTATCTATTTTGGTGTTTTGTGTGGGTCAACTCATGCTTACTTGTCTCTGCCATACATAACTTCCTGCTGGAACCATGATGGACACACACACACAGAAACACACACACCTGGGTGCAGCTCTTGTGTACAGTGTAACCATGTTTCCTCCTGTATGTTGTCTCTCGGCTAACAGTACATAGCTTCCTGTTGGAACCATGATGGTGACCCGGTTCAGCTGCTGAAGGTCAGCGACAGTGTGACCCAGTTCAGGCAGGCCTTGAAGAACAACCCTCACTTCCTCCAGGAGAAAGTCCTGCACTACTTCAAGGTGAGTAACCAGACAGGAGAAAATAAGTTGAGTTTTAAGTTTCAGTATAGATAGCATCTGAATTGCGTATGTAACAGATACAGATACAGCAGTCTAATCAAGAAAGTTGAGAAGTCATCATGCAGGTTTCATAGACCAGGGTGTTGTTGAAAGCAGAAAATGACATCATTTTTATTTTTTTATTTTATTTATTTCACCTTTATTTAACCAGGTAAGCCAGTTGAGAACAGGTTCTCATTTACAACTGCGACCTGGCAGATCAGTGTAATGATGTCACTTACATGACACTATTTAGTGTTATGGTCATGTCACATGAGTGTCATGTTTGTGCCCGTGTAGGATAATACTCACAGACTGACTCTGTCTATGAGTCCTGATGAGGCGTACCTGGAGAAACAGGCCAAAGCAGAGCAGGATAAACTCCAGAAGAAGGTACAGGCTCTGTCTGAGAGTGACAAGAAAGACATCTATGAGAAAGGTCAGTTCTACGCCTATAGAGGAGAATAGAGAGACTCATTGACTTCATTATGAAAACATTTTTTAATTTTGTGTTGTTTTCAATTCAGGTCTTGAGCTGCTATCGGTTCAGAGCAAGATCCAGGATGCCTCATGTCTCCCTGCCCTGAAAGTATCTGACATTGAACCAACGATAGCAGTCACACGTGTAGAGATGGGCGCTGCAGGTACAGTACTTACTGTATTATTGGATACACACTGACGCTACACTCTAGTTACTCTGGGTTCTGAGATTACACTCTAGTCCACCCAGTCGGTCTAAAACAACATGCACGGTACTATGGATACATTTTGATGTACAATTTCTCAGTATGAGTAGACTGACAAATGAACTAGTCCATACGTCAAGACAGAAATTCTGTAGCTCCCTGGAGAATCAGTCCTTGAAGTTGAACATTAGGACGCTCAGGTAATTTGTCTCATGGTTTTGCCTACCTTTGACATTTGTCCTGTTCTACTCTCTTCACCCCACTAGGAGGAGTACCAGTGCAGTACTGTGAGCAGCCCACCAATGGCATGGTCTACTTCAGAGCTATGTGTAGTCTCAACAGCCTCCCTGAGGACCTCAAACTATACGTGCCCCTCTTCTGCAGTGTCATCACCAAGTGAGTCCAGACCCCATATGATATGACATATCATTTGTGTATTGTCCAGAAGGCTTAGCTCGTGTGGTTTCATATACAGTTGAAGTCAGAAGTTTAAATACACCTTAGCCAAATACATTTAAACTCAGTTTTTCACAATTTCTGACAGTAAAAATTCCCTGTCTTAGGTCAGTTAGGATCACCACTTTATTTTAAGAATGTGAAATGGCAGAATAATAGTAGAGTTATTTATTTCAGCTTTTATTTATTTCATCACATTCCCAGTGGGTCAGAAGTTTACATACACTCAATTAGTATTTGGTAGCATTGCCTTTAAATTGTTTAACTTGGGTCAAATGTTTCGGGTAGCCTTCCACAAGCTTCCCACAATAAGTAATGTGAATTTTGGCCCATTCCTCCTGACAGAGCTGGTGTAACTGAGTCAGGTTTGTAGGCCTCCTTGCTCGCACACGCTTTTTCAGTTCTGCCCACAAATGTTCTATAGGATTGAGGTCAGGGCTTTGTGATGGCCACTCCAATACCTTGACTTTGTTGTCCTTAAGCCATATTGCCACAACTTCGGAAGTATGCTTGGGGTCATTGTCCATTTGGAAGACCCATTTGCGACCAAGCTTTAACTTCCTGACTGATGTCTTGAGATGTTGCTTCAATATATCCACATAATTTTGTGAAGTGCACCAGTCCCTCCTGCAGCAAAGCACCCCCACAGCATGATGCTGCCACCCCTGTGCTTCACGGTTGGGATGGTGTTCTTGGCTTGCAAGCATCCCCCTTTTTCCTTCAAACATAACGATGGTCGTTATGGCCAAACAGTTATATTTTTGTTTCATCAGACCAGAGGACATTTCTCCAAAAAGTACGATCTTTGTCCCCATGTGCAGTTGCAAACTGTAGTCTGGCTTTTTTATGGCGGTTTTGGAGCAGTGGCTTCTTCCTTGCTGAACGGCTTTTCAGGTTATGTCGATATAGGACTCGTTTTACTGTGGATATAGATACTTTTGTACCTGTTTCCTCCAGCATCTTCACAAGGTTCTTTGCTGTTCTGGGATTGATTTGCACTTTTCGCACCAAAGTACGTTCATCTCTAGGAGACAGAACGCGTCCTGAGCGGTATGACAGCTGCGTGGTCCCATGGTGTTTATACTTGCATACTATTGTTTGTACAGATGAACGTGGGACCTTCAGGCGTTTGGAAATTGCTCCCAAGGATGAACCAGACTTGTGGAGGTCTACAATTTTTTTCCTGAGGTCTTGGCTGATTTCTTTTGATTTTCCCATGATGTCAAGCAAAGAGGCACTGAGTTTGATGGTAGGCCTTGAAATACATCCACAGGTACACCTTCAATTGACTCAAATGATGTCAATTAGCCTATCAGAAGCTTCTAAAGCCATGACATCATTTTCTGGAATTTTCCAAGCTGTTTAAAGGCATAGTCAACTTAGTGTATGTAAACTTCTGACCCACTGGAATTGTGATACAGTGAATTATAAGTGAAAAATTAATTGTGTCATGCACAAAGTAGATGTCCTAACCGACTTGCCAAAACTATAGATTGTTAACAAGAAATGTGTGGAGTGGTTGAAAAACGAGTTTTAATGACTAAGTGTATGTAAACTTCCGACTTCAACTGTACATAAATTAAGTTGCAGGCAATGGAGGTAGTTGCAATTGGGATATAGACTATTAAGCTTTTGTCCTGAGAATGTCGGTCAGTCTGGGTTACTGAAGTGATTGTGAGACGGCGTGCTGTGTTGGTTGTTAGGTGATTTGTGAAAAGGTAATGGGAGTGTGTGTTATTTCAGGATGGGGTGTAAGGTGTGTATGATAAGGAGTGTGTGTTGGTCCCGTGTGGCTGTAAGATAAGACATATGATAATTGAAAACGTGTGTTATTTCAGGATGGGCTGTGGAAGGCTGGACTACAGGCAGCAGGCCCAGCAGATGGAGCTGAAGACAGGAGGCATGTCCATCTCCACATCGGTCAACCCTGACTACTCTAACATGGACATGTATGAACAGGTCAGTCCCCAGCCAGTCAGTCAGTCACCATAAAGCCTAGTTTATACCTTACGCAAGTACGCAATGCAATTAGCTACAAGAAAGAGCATTCTCCATCACCTCTGTCTGATTCACAGGGAGTCCTCCTCTCATCTTCCTGCCTGGAGAGGAATCTTCCTGATATGTTTCACCTGTGGAGTGACATATTCAACAGGTAGGCTCACATGTCCATCAGAATAATACCATGGCACATAGAACAGTAATAAATGGTTATATGTTCTTATCAGATAATTATCAAACTGTAAATAATCCATCTATGGTCACTAATAATCCACATGTTCATTGTTTTCTAATAAATCATTTGATTGATATTATTTGAGCCCTTCTCGCTCTCTGCTGTGAACCTTGAACCACAGCCCGCACTTTGATGACGAGGAGCGTCTGCGTGTGCTGGTCATGATGTCGGCTCAGGAACTGGCCAATGGGATCTCTTACTCTGGTCACATGTATACCATGACGCGGGCGGCTCGCAACCTTACCCCAACAGGAGAACTACAGGAGACCTTCGGAGGGATGGAGCAGGTGAGAGAGGGGGGAGAACTGTGGTGAAGTCAAACCATGTAACCTGAGGGTCTACAAGCGAAGAAAAAGCTCTATGACGAAGGACACTGGTATTGTAGCCTCTGAATGAGAATATAATGCACTTCTGTACACTCAAATGAAAGAAATCTCAGTTTTCTTGTGTATCTTGAATATCAGGTCAAGTTTATGAAGAGGGTCGCAGAAATGCCAGACCTCACCCAAGTTCTACGGACACTTCCTAGAATCAAGAGGCACATTCTCAACCCACTGAACATGAGGTGGGCATAGTCTTTACACGTGACCGCTACTTATCAAAGGTTAAGATTTTACTATGATTTCTCTATGTTGACTTTACGTAAAGTGTCTTACAACTTCTTGTTATTCGGACAGATGTGCGGTTAACGCAACACCGCAGAAGATGTCTAATGCCGCTGGACAATTGGATAACTTCATGTGTAACGTTGCTTCCAATAAGAAGGATTGCAAACCAGTCCTGCCCAATATCACTGAGGTATGAATTTGTCACACTATCTTGGTACTGTACTGAGACTGCACTGTAACCAAGTGAAATGAGTACTGTGTCTGTGTCCAAAATTGCACCCTATTCCCTACATAGTGCACTATTTTTGACCAGGGCCCATATGTAGAGAATAGGGTCGCATTTGGGATGAAGCCTGTATCTTGGTGTTTTTATCCACTTTTCTTTTGATCCTAACAGAGACCTCTTGACCCACTGGCAGCCCCTGGATCTGGCCCAAGTAGAAAACTTGTCGCTGTGCGTACCGCCTCCACTTTGAAACTAGGCCCTGGGGCCGTATGTACTGTATCAAGCATCTCAATAGGAATACTGATTTAGGATCAGTTTTGCCTTTTAGATCACAATGAATAAGATTACATGGTGGACGGGGGACCTGATCCTAGATCAGCACACCTACTCTCAGACGCTTGATCCATACAGCCCCTGAACATTAGTTTGACCTTCCTTTCATTGTTGTTAAGTAACACTTATTTATCATTGGTCTCTGACCTCCATATTCTACCATTGAGCTAATGTGAGTGTGTTTGATCATCCCCACACAGGAGCCCAACTTCAAGCCCTGCCAGATGAAGACATTTTTCCCAATGCCCTTCCCAATCAACTTTGTCAGCGAGTGTATCCGCACCGTGCCCTTCACCCATGAGGACTATGCCAGGTGACTGTCTTAATACTGTGTAAAGCTTCCACCCTAGTAGTTCATGTTCCATGTCTTTCCATACCCTCTCACATCCATGTTTACATTTACTGGGGTTCCAAAATTCTGGTTACTTTTCCAAAATTCCCTGATCTTCCAGACATCCTGTGTTGGTATATTTCTGGAATCGTGGAGAAAATGCACAAAATCCAGAATCCTTCAACCAGGATTTCTGGAAAACTTGGGATATTTCAGAAAGTTACCAGAATTCTGCAGCCCGTTATTTACCCATGCTCGTCCCCTCTCTCCCTCAGCCTGAATATCCTGGCCCGGATGATGACTGCTAAATACCTGCATGGAGAGATCAGAGAAAAGGGTGGCGCCTACGGTGGAGGGGCCAGGATGGGAGGAGGACTATTCACCTTCTATTCATACAGGTGTGTAATGTATCGATATACTGTAATAAAACAGGATTATATTGTTCTCAAACAGGTTTTAATAGTAGTTAACCAGATTAAAACATGACAGAGTCACTGTCAAAAGAAAATCTCCAAAACTGGAACTTCTCAGGAAATTGAAAAACCTGCCATATTTGACCATTGATGAACAACATACAATCACGAAACATCAGAACTATTTTGAATGCATTTTCTTGATCCTAGAGTCATGAAATGTTCAGAATACATTAAGAGGAGTTATACATGTACAATTTTAATACATTAGATCACTTTTTCTCATATTTAATTTGCATGTCCCTGTGTTGATTTCAGAGACCCCAACTCAGTACAGACTCTGTCAGCGTTCCGTAAGGGTGTGGACTGGGCCAGATCAGGACAGTTTACCCAGCAGGACATTGATGAGGCCAAGCTGTCCGTGTTCTCAGCCGTGGACTCCCCCGTCGCCCCCTCCGATAAAGGTAGAGCCTGCGTATAACACCCTATTCCCTATACAGTGGGGAGAACAAGTATTTGATACACTGCCGATTTTGCAGGTTTTCCTACTTACAAAGCATGTAGAGGTCTGTAATTTTTTATCATAGGTACACTTCAACTGTGAGAGACGGAATCTAAAACAAAAATCCAGAAAATCACATTGTATGATTTTTAAGTAATTCATTTGCATTTTATTGCATGACATAAGTATTTGATACATCAGAAAAGCAGAACTTAATATTTGGTACAGAAACCTTTGTTTGCAATTACAGAGATCATACGTTTCCTGTAGGTCTTGACCAGGTTTGCACACACTGCAGCAGGGATTTTGGCCCACTCCTCCATACAGACCTTCTCCAGATCCTTCAGGTTTCGGGGCTGTTGCTGTTCAATACGGACTTTCAGCTCCCTCCAAAGATTTTCAATTGGGTTCAATTCCGGCTCTCACAGACCTGTTCGTTTTTCTTTAAGAAGCCCTCCTGTTCTCCACTCATTACCTGTATTAACTGCACCTGTTTGAACTCATTACCTGTATAAAAGACACCTGTCCACACACTCAATCAAACAGACTCCAACCTCTCCACAATGGCCAAGACCAGAGAGCTGTGTAAGGACATCAGGGATAAAATTGTAGACCTGCACAAGGCTGGGATGGGCTACAGGACAATAGGCAAGCAGCTTGGTGAGAAGGCAACAACTGTTGGCGCAATTATTAGAAAATGGAAGAAGTTCAAGATGACGGTCATTCACCCTTGGTCTGGGGCTCCATGCAAGATTTCACCTCGTGGGGCATCAATGATCATGAGGAAGTTGAGGGATCATCCCAGAACTACACGGCAGGACCTGGTCAATGACCTGAAGAGAGCTGGAACCCAGTCTCAAAGAAACCATTAGAAACACACTACACCGTCATGGATTAAAATCCTGCAGCGCACGCAAGGTCCCCCTGCTCAAGCCAGCGCATGTCCAGGCCCGTCTGAAGTTTGCCAATGATCATCTGGATGATCCAGAGGAGGAATGGGAGAAGGTCATGTGGTCTGATGAGACAAAAATATAGCTTTTTGGTCTAAACTCCACTCCCCGTCTTTGGAGGAAGAAGAAGGATGAGTACAACCCCAAGAACACCATCCCAACCGTGAAGCATGGAGGTGGAAACATCATTCTTTGGGGATGCTTTTCTACAAAGGGGACAGGACGACTGCACCGTATTGAGGGGAGGATGGATGGGGCCATGTATCGCGAGATCTTGGCCAACAACCTCCTTCCCTCAGTAAGAGCATTGAAGATGGGTCGTGGCTGGGTCTTCCAGCATGACAACGACCCGAAACACACAGCCTGGGCAACTAAGGAGTGGCTCCGTAAGAAGCATCTCAAGGTCCTGGAGTGGCCTAGCCAGTCTCCAGACCTGAACCCAATAGAAAATCTTTGGAGGGAGCTGAAAGTCCGTATTGCCCAGCGACAGCCCCGAAACCTGAAGGATCTGGAGAAGGTCTGTATGGAGGAGTGGGCCAAAATCCCTGCTGCAGTGTGTGCAAACCTGGTCAAGACCTACAGGAAACGTATGATCTCTGTAATTGCAAACAAAGGTTTCTGTACCAAATATTAAGTTCTGCTTTTCTGATGTATCAAATACTTATGTCATGCAATAAAATGCAAATGAATTACTTAAAAATCATACAATGTGATTTTCTGGATTTTTGTTTTAGATTCCGTCTCTCACAGTTGAAGTGTACCTATGATAAAAATTACAGACCTCTACATGCTTTGTAAGTAGGAAAACCTGCAAAATCGGCAGTGTATCAAATACTTGTTCTCCCCTCTGTATAGTGCACTACTTTTGACCAGAGCCCTATGCGTATCCCTATGGGCCCTGGTTAAAAGTAGTGCACTATGTAGAGAATAAGGTGCCATTTGGGATGCACTCAGAGCCTTCCATACTGAACAGAAACCACACTGGTAATAAATACTACAGCTGACAAAAGATGTGCCCTTCCTTATCGCTCCTGGAGTTGTCTAAATGCCAACTCTAAATCTCTTTACCTGACATTTAACATGCTGTTCTTTTGTGTCCTGTTTTACTGTACATGAGGACAGCACTGGACACATTTACAGTGTCTACAAAGAGAGACATTTAATTAGAGAGGTTGTCCCTTACCAGGGTCTCACTTTGGAGAGAAATACATGTCTGACTTCTAAATGACATGTTATAAATGGACCAAAACAAAGAGATGAAAAAGACCAACTGTCAATCCATGTCTTGACACACCACCGTGTTGCAGGTATGGGCCGTTTCCTGAGTGGAATCACAGATGAGCTGAAACAGGCCCACAGAGAGAGACTCTTTGCTGTCACAGACAAGAGGATTGTCGATGTGGCTGGCAGGTAATGTAGTTTTGGTTGAATATCATTTCAGGTGTTGAATCTGTATACAGATATAAATATCTGCCTGTTTTTTGAGTGCTCCAACTACAGTTGACCAGTTTGTCATTTTTGAAGTTGTTCCTAGGTAAGCCATATTACTGGACTGAATGACATTTTATATGCAGAGAATGGCCATTTAATATTTGGGATTGATGTTTTACACAGGTACCTTGGCATTGGACGGAGGACATGTGGAGTTGCTATTATGGGCCCCGAGAATGACACCATCAAGAAAGACCCCTCATGGGTGGTAAAATAACCAGACATCATGGAATTATCCACTTTTGTATTTTCCAATTAAGAGACTTCAGATGCACTGTGTCATAAGATGGTGAACATCAATGTTACTTGATTGTCCTGAATAACTGGACTGTGGTTGCACTGTTTCCGGTAATAATATTACTTGAAGTGTATTGAATTAACCAGAAAGTCTTTGTTTTTTGGGCAAAAACTGAATGCGCACAACAGAGAACAGATGCTCCCATAGATAACATTACATCTAACCTCACCTCGATACCATATTCATAATATACAAATATGACAACATACATTTCATTTATTAGTATAATTTCTAGACATTGGTATAATTTCTAGACATAGACTCACCTCTGGCTTCTAAATGTATGCAAGTATGTACAAAGATGGCTTCTGTTTATTGAAATACTGTATTTCCATAGGGTACATATAATGTATAATGAATAAAAATATAAATGCACCATGTGAAGTGTTGGTCCCATGTTTCATGAGCAGAAATAAAAGATCCCAGCCATTTTCCATCCGCATAAAAAACTTTTCTCTCAAATGTTGTGCACAAATTTGTTTACTTCCCTGTTAGAGAGCATTTCTCCTTTGCCAAGATAATCCATCCACCTAACCGGTGTAGCATATCAAGAAGCTGATTAAACAGCATGATAATTACACAGGTGCTGGGGACAATAAAAGGCCACTAAAATGTGCAGTTTATTCACACATCACAATGCTACAGATGTGTCAAGTTTTGAGGGAGCGGGCAATTGGCATTCTGACTGCAGGAACATCCACCAGAGCTGTTGCCAGAGAATTGAATGTTCATTTCTCTACCATAAGCCGCATCCAACGTCATTTTAGAGAATTTGGCAGTACGTCCAACCGGCCACACAACAGCAGACCACGTGTAACCACGCCACCCCAGGACCTCCACATCCGGCTTCTTCACCTGCGGGATGGTGTGAGACCAGCCACCCAGACAGCTGATGAAACAGTGGCTTTGCACAACCGAATAATTTCGTCAGAAACTGTCTCCGGGAAGCTCATCTGCGTGCTCGTCATCCTCACCAGGGTCTTGACCTGACTGCAGTTCGGCGTCGTAACCGACGTCAGTGGGCAAATGCTCACCTTCAACGGCCATTTTCAGCATTATAATGCATGGCCCCATGTCGCAAGGATCTGTACACAATTCCTGGAAGCTGAAATTGTCCCAGTTCTTCCATGGCCTGCATACTCACCAAACATGTCACCCGTTGAGCATGTTTGGTATGCTTTGGATCGACGTGTATGATAGTGTGTTCCAGTTCCCACCAATATCCAGCAACTTTGCACAGCCATTGAAGAGGAGTGGGACAACATTCCTCAGGCCACAATCAACAGCCTGATCAACTCTATGTGAAGCAGATGTGTCGCGCTACATGAGGCAAATGGTTTTCTGATCCATGCCCCTACTTACTTTTTTTAAGGTATCTGTGACCAACAGATGCATATGTGTTCCCAGTCATGTGAAATCCATAGATTAGGGCCTAATAAATGTTTTTCAATTACATTTTTCCTTATACAGTGCCTTGCAAAAGTATTCATCCCCCTTGGCGTTTTTTCCTATTTTGTTGCATTACAACCTGTAATTTAAATGGATTTTTAATTGGATTTCATGTAATGGACATACACAAAATAGTCCAAATTGGTGAAGTGAAATGAAAAAAATTACTTCTTACAAAAAATTCTAAAAAATTAATAATGGAAAAGTGGTGCTGTATTCACCCCCTTTGCTATGAAGCCCCTAAATAAGATCTGGTGCAACCAATTACCTTCAGAAGTAACATAATTAGTTAAATAAAGTCCACCTGTGTGCAATCTAAGTGTCACATGATCTGTCACATGATCTCAGTATATATTCACCTGTTCTGAAAGGCCCCAGAGTCTGCAACACCAGCAAGCAAGGGGCACCACCAAGCAATCAGCAGCATGAAGACCAAGGAGCTCTCCAAACAGGTCATGGACAAAGTTGTGGAGAAGTACAGATCAGGGTTGGGTTATAAAAAAATATCAGAAACTTTGAACATCCCACCGAGCACCAATAAATCCATTATTAAAAAACTAAAAGAATATGGCACCACAACAAACCTGCCAAGAGAGGGCCACCCACCAAAACTCACGGACCGGGCAAGGAGGGCATTAATCAGAGAGGCAACAAAGAGACCAAAGATAACTCTGAAGGAGCTTCAAAGCTCCACAGCAGAGATTGGAGTATCTGTCCATAGGACCACTTTAAGCCGTACACTCCACAGAGCTGGGCTTTATGGAAGAGTGGCCAGAAAAAAAGCCATTGCTTAAAGAAAAAAATAAGCAAACACGTTTGGTGTTCGCAAAAAGGCATGTGGGAGAGTCCCCAAACATATGGAAGGAGGTACTCTGGTCAGATGAGACAAAAATTGAGCTTTTTGGCCATCAAGGAAAACGCTATGTCTGGCGCAAATCCAACACCTCTCATCACCCCGAGAACACCATCCTGCTGTGGGGAATTTTTTCAATCGTCAGGGACTGAGAAACTGGTCAGAATTGAAGGAATGATGGATGGCACTAAATACAGGGAACTTCTTGAGGGAAACTTGTTTCAGTCTTCCAGAGATTTGAGACTGGGACGGAGGTTCACCTTCCAGCAGGACAATGACCCTAAGCATACTGCTAAAGCAACACTTGAGTGGTTTAAGGGGAAACATTTAAATGTCTTGAGAATCTGTGGTATGACTTAAAGATTGCTGTACACCAGCAGAACCCATCCAACTTGAAGGAGCTGGAGCAGTTTTGCCTTGAAGAATGAGCAAAAATCCCAGTGGCTAGATGTGCCAAGCTTATAGAGACATACCCCAAGAGACTTGCAGCTGTAATTGCTGCAAAAGGTGGCTCTACAAAGTATTGACTTTGGTGGGGCTAATAGTTATGCACGCTCAAGTTCTGTTTTTTTCTCTTATTTCTTGTTTGTTTCACAATAATAAATATTTTGCATCTTCAAAGTGGTAAGCATGTTGTGTAAATCAAATTATACAAACCCCCCAAAAATCAATTTTATTCCAGGTTGTAAGGCAACAAAATAGGAAAAATGCCAAGGGGGTGAATACTTTCGCAAGCCACTGTATGAACTGTAACTCAGTCAAATCTTTGAAATTGTTGCATGTTGCGTTGATATTTTTGTTCAGTGTATGTATTATGTATTTTTGTTCAGTGTATGTATTATGTATATGTATGTAAAATATGACCATTGTAATACAACAACGTGTCATTGATGATATATATCCTGAACTCACTAGCATTGTTCAATCAGCCTGATCTCACATTCTGTTACACTACAAGTGGAGTGAAACGAAACAATGACAAGCCACGAGGTCTGACAACTTGGATGGAAAATTACTGAGGAAAATAGCGGACAATATTGCCACTCCTATTTGCCATATCTTCAATTTAAGCCTACTAGAAAGTGTGTGCCCTCAGGCCTGGAGGGAAGCAAAAGTCATTCCGCTACCTACGAAGTAATAAAGCCCCCTTTACTGGCTCAAATAGCTGACCAATCAGCCTGTTACCATCTGTTATGATGAGTTTCTCTGACATCAAGTAATTCAGTATGCAAGAAGATGGAGAGTTGATTCAAAGTATTTCATATTGCGGTACCGGGTTCACATAGCAAACGGCACGTGGGTGGCCCATTGCTATCTGAACTCACTGAACAAAGGAAATCTCTTAGCTTATATACTTGTTTGCAAGCTAATTCTATCCAACAGTTGCCAACCGTTATTGAGTGTCACTCCTCACCAGAATAGAATCACCGTTTATGGTATTGTGTTGCACCCTAGTCAGGATATTCCATCACGCACTCCTTCTAAGATTAGCACCAGTGACCCCCCAGCTATCTTGGCCCGCATACCTTCTGGCACCCACCAGTGACATAAATAAATACATGGAATGTCCTCATTCTCCAAATCCTTATGCAGCTCACAATATCAAACATTTACTAATCCTGTATAAAAGACGTAATATTCACCAACCCTTAGTAAAGTTTGGGAAAAAATGGTGTTTGACCAGATACAGTGGGGAAAAAAAAGTATTTAGTCAGCCACCAATTGTGCAAGTTCTCCCACTTAAAAAGATGAGAGAGGCCTGTAATTTTCATCATAGGTACACGTCAACTATGACAGACAAATTGAGCATTTTTTTCTCCAGAAAATCACATTGTAGGATTTTTAATGAATTTATTTGCAAATTATGGTGGAAAATAAGTATTTGGTCACCTACAAACAAGCAAGATTTCTGGCTCTCACAGACCTGTAATTTCTTCTTTAAGAGGCTCCTCTGTCCTCCACTCGTTACCTGTATTAATGGCACCTGTTTGAACTTGTTATCAGTATAAAAGACACCTGTCCACAACCTCAAACAGTCACACTCCAAACTTCACTATGGCCAAGACCAAAGAGCTGTCAAAGGACACCAGAAACACAATTGTAGACCTGCACCAGGCTGGGAAGACTGAATCTGCAATAGGTAAGCAGCTTGGTTTGAAGAAATCAACTGTGGGAGCAATTATTAGGAAATGGAAGACATACAAGACCACTGATAATCTCCCTCGATCTGGGGCTCCACGCAAGATCTCACCCCGTGGGGTCAAAATGATCACAAGAACGGTGAACAAAAATCCCAGAACCACACGGGGGGACCTAGTGAATGACCTGCAGAGAGCTGGGACCAAAGTAACAAAGCCTACCATCAGTAACACACTACGCCGCCAGGGACTCAAATCCTGCAGTGCCAGACGTGTCCCCCTGCTTAAGCCAGTACATGTCCAGGCCTGTCTGAAGTTTGCTAGAGTGGATGATCCAGAAGAGGATTGGGGGAATGTCATATGGTCTGATGAAACCAAAATAGAACTTTTTGGTAAAAACACAACTCGTCGTGTTTGGAGGACAAAGAATGCTGAGTTGCATCCAAAGAACACCATACCTACTGTGAAGCATGGGGGTGGAAACATCATGCTTTGGGGCTGTTTTTCTGCAAAGGGACCAGGACGACTGATCCGTGTAAAGGAAAGAATGAATGGGGCCATGTATCGTGAGATTTTGAGTGAAAACCTCCTTCCATCAGCAAGGGCATTGAAGATGAAACGTGGCTGGGTCTTTCAGCATGACAATGATCCCAAACACACCGCCCGGGCAACGAAGGAGTGGCTTCGTAAGAAGCATTTCAAGGTCCTGGAGTGGCCTAGCCAGTCTCTAGATCTCAACCTCATAGAAAATCTTTGGAGGGAGTTGAAAGTCTGTGTTGCCCAGCGACAGCCCCAAAACATCACTGCTCTAGAGGAGATCTGCATGGAGGAATGGGCCAAAATACCAGCAACAGTGTGTGAAAACCTTGTGAAGACTTACAGAAAACGTTTGACCTGTGTCATTGCCAACAAAGGGTATATAACAAAGTATTGAGAAACTTTTGTTATTGACCAAATACTTATTTTCCACCATAACTTGCAAATAAATTCATTAAAAATCCTACAAATGTGATTTTCTGGAAAAAATATTCTCATTTTGTCTGTCATAGTTGACGTGTACCTATGATGAAAATTATAGGCCTCTCTCATCTTTTTAAGTGGGAGAACTTGCACAATTGGTGGCTGACTAAATACTTTTTTTCCCCACTGTACAATGCTATTTTACAGTAAACAAATTGACAACAGACTGTCAGCACGCTTATAGGGAAGGACATTCAACAAGCACAGCACTTACACAAATTACTGATGATTGGCTGAGAGGAATTTATGATAAAAAGATTGTGGGGGCTGTTTTGTTAGACATCAGTGCAGCTTTTGACATTATCGATCATAAACTCGACATAAATAATTTGTAAAAATCCAAATAACTTCACAGATCTTCATTGTAAAGGGTTTAAACACTGTTTCCCATGCGTGTTCAATGAACCATAAACAATTAATGAACGTGCACCTGTGTAACGGTCGTTAAGACACTAACAGCTTACAGACGGTAGGCAATTAAGGTCACAGTTATGAAAACTTAGGACACTAAAATAGGCCTTTCTACTGACTCTGAAAAACACCAAAAGAAAGATGCCCAGGGTCCCTGCTCATCTGCGTGAACGTGCCTTAGGCATGCTGCAAGGAGGCATGAGGACTGCAGATGTGGCCAGGGAAATAAATTGCAATGTCCGTACTGTGAGACGCCTAAGACAGCGCTACAGGGAGACAGGACGGACAGCTGATCGTCCTCGCAGTGGCAGACCACGTGTAACAATACCTGCACAGGATCGGTACATCCGAACATCACACCTGCGGGACAGGTACAGGATGGAAACAACAACTGCCCGAGTTACACCAGGAACGCACAATCCCTCCATCAGTGCCCAGACTGTCCGCAATAGGCTGAGAGAGGCTGGACTGAGGGCTTGTAGGCCTGTTGTAAGGCAGGTCCTCACCAGACATCACCGGCAACAACATCGCCTATGGACACAAACCCACTGTCGCTGGACCAGACAGGACTGGCAAAAAGTGCTCTTCACTGACAAGTCGCGGTTTTGTCTCACCAGGGGTGATGGTCGGATTTGCGCTTATCGTCAAAGGAATGAGTGTTACACCGAGGCCTGTACTCTGGAGCGGGATCGATTTGGAGGTGGAGGGTCCGTCATGGTCTGGGGCGGTGTGTCACAGCATCATCGGACTGAGCTTGTTGTCATTGCAGGCAATCTCAACGCTGTGCGTTACAGGGAAGACATCCTCCTCCCTCATGTGGTACCCTTCCTACAGGCTCATCCTGACATGACCCTCAAGCATGACAATGCCACCAGCCATACTGCTCGTTCTGTGCGTGATTTCCTGCAAGACAGGAATGTCAGTGTTCTGCCATGGCCAGCGAAGAGCCCGGATCTCAATCCCATTGAGCACGTCTGGGACCTGTTGGATCGGAGGGTGAGGGCTAGGGCCATTCCCCCCAGAAATGTCAGGGAACTTGCAGGTGCCTTGGTGGAAGACTGGGGTAACATTTCACAGCAAGAACTGGCAAATCTAGTGCAGTCCATGAGGAGGAGATGCACTGCAGTACTTATACAGCTGGTGGCCACACCAGATCCTGACTGTTACTTTTGATTTTGACCCCCACTTTGTTCAAGGACACATTATTCAATGTCTGTTAGTCACGTCTGTGGAACTTGTTCAGTTTATGTCTCAGTTGTTGAATCTTGTTATGTTCATACAAATATTTACACGTTATGTTTGGTGAAAATAAACGCAGTTGACAGTGAGAGGATGTTTCTTTTTTTGCTGAGTTTAGTCTGCTGCAGGAAAAACCTATGTGTTATGGCTTTACACCCCCTGCTATATTGTGGATAAAGAGTTACCTGTCTAACAGAACACAGAGGGCGTTCTTTAATGGAAGGCTCTCCAACATAATCCAGGTAGAATCAGGAATTCCCCAGGGCAGCTGTCTAGGCCCCTTACTTTCTTCAATCTTTACTAACGACATGCCAGTAAAGCCAGTGTGTCTATGTATGCGGATGACTCAACACTATACACGTCAGCTACTACAGCAAGTGAAATGACTGCAACACTTATCAAAGAGCTGCAGTTAGTTTCAGAATGGGTGGCAAGGAATAAGCTAGTCCTAAATATTTCAAAAACTAAAAGTATTGTATTTGGGACATATCATTCACTAAACCCTAAACCTCAACTAATCTTGTAATAGATCATGTGGAAATTGAGCAAGTTGAGGTGACTAAACTGCTTGGAGTAACCCTGGATTGTAAACTGTCATGGTCAAAACATATTGATACAGTAGCTAAGATGGGGAGAAGTCTGTCCATAATGAAGCGCTACTCTACCTTCTTAACAGCACTATCAACAAGGCAGGTCCTACAGACTCTAGTTTTGTCGGACCTGGACTACTGTTCAGTCGTGTGGTCAGGTGCCACAAAGAGAGACTTCAGAAAATTGCAATTGGCTCAGCACGGCTGGACCTTGGATGTACACAGAGAGCAAACATTAATAATATGCATGTCAATATCGCCTGGCTCAAAGTAGAGGGGAGATTGACTTCATCACTACTTGTATTTGTGAGAGGTATTGACATGTTAAAAGCACCGAGCTGTCTGTTTAAACGATTAACACACAGCTCAGACACCCATGCATACCCCACAAGACATGCCACCAGAGGTCTCTTCACAGTCCCCAAGTCCAGAACAGACTATGGGAGGCGCACAGTACTACATAGAGCCATGACTACATGGAACTCTATTCCACATCAGGTAACTGATGCAAGCAGTACAATCAGATTGAAAAAAAACAATAAAAATACACCTTATGGAACAGCGGGGACTGTGAAGTAACACAAACATAGGCACAGACACATGCATACACACACATGATAACATACGCACTATACACACACGTACACATGGATTTTGTGTTGTGGATATGTGGTAGTGGAGTAGGGGCCTGAGGGCAAACACTTAGTGTGTTGTGAATTCTGTAATGAATTTATTGTAATGTTTTTTAAATTGTATAACTGCCTTAATTTTGCCGGACCCCAGGAAGGTGATGTGATTGAGGTATCACAATTATCACAAATATTATTTAATAATTGGAGAAAACACACAGTGAGTGTCAACACATTAAAACAAGGTTATATTGCATAATTACATTTGACATTACATTTTAGTCATTTAGCAGACGCTCTTATCCAGAGCGACTTACAGTTAGTGCATAGATTTTCATACTGGCCCCTGTGGGAAACCCACAACCCTGGCGTTGCAACCGCCATGCTCTACCAACTGAGCTACAGGGGACTCATAATAATGGGTTTCACAAACGCATCATCCTCAACAAAGCAACATAATACAGCAGCAGAACAAACATGACCTAGGGCTCTATTCAATCTGTATCGCTGAAGCGTTACAGATAGCACGCTAGAAATGTAAAGGTAATTTCCTATTGAGCAGTCATCTGCAGCTAACGCGGGAACATTGCATTTCAATCACGCTGTAACGCTGAATTTCTGCGACACGGATTGAATACAGCCCCTACTCTTAAGTGCCACAAACTGCTTACAGGGTAAGGAAACCTATGTGATATATTTTTATTTGGGTGAACTATCCCTTTAAGTGCCACACATAGCCCAGGTTTGATACAAAGTGCAAGTATAGCGTAACAACACAACATAATACACACTGGAATAGACCTACAGTAGGTGAAAGGAGATACAGTCAGCTCTCCCTTTAGAAGAAGACGGAGAGGGAAGAAGAACCTATGGGAGTAGAATCAAGCTACATCCTGATTCTCCACCCTTTTCCAGAAGTGTGCACTTGCACACTCCCCGTCATGAATTTAAAAGCATAAGTGTTGGCTGGAAGCAGTTTCCACCATTGTAAAATCCATAGAAAAAGTGCGCAAGTGCATACTTCGGTAGATGGGTGGAGTTTCTGAGGGGACATGTGTATGGGACGGAGTGAAAAGTGCTGGTAAGAGTTACCATGATAAAGGCTAAGTTACACTGAATGGATCAGCTCAGAGCAGCCCAGCCCTCTCTACAGACTAGCCTATCTAGTCCGCCTTCTTGGGCCTGACCCGGGTCACTGGCTCCATCTGGCCAGAGTCAGACACATCGTAGCTGGTCTTGTACTTAGCCAGGATCTTCATCAGGGGATGAAGCTTCAACCACCACTGTTCCTTAGGGATCCTGTGGCTACACACACACACACACACACACACACACAGAGAGAAAGAGAGATAAGAGACACACACATACTGTGTATGAGAGACCAAAAAGACGGGTGGACGTTGTATTTAGGATTAGTCAGTCATATTGAATAGATCATTGTACTATCTTCTCATTATGTGCTACTATGGAGGTCTACACAGAAAAATTACTATCTCTCTCATTTGAAGAACAGTCATTGGTTGAAAGCCTAAATGGGTGTCTGTCTGTCTGTGTGTGTAAGTGCTGTGCCTGAAGGTACTGTAAATGTTGTCTTACGCAAAGTCTGTCTCATCTTTCAGATGCACCACTGGTTGGAAGGCCATGGTTCTGCGACGCATCCCCAGCAAACAGGCCGTGTCCTCTGTGTTAGCAAACACTTTCCCTGCATGGTGAGGGAATATAGTCAACACACATTTATTTATGTCCCAATTGACACCATATTCCCAATATAGTGCACTACTTTTGACTAGAGAGCCCTATGGGCCATTGTCAAAAGTAGTGCACCAATTAAGGGATTGGGTGCCATTTGGGTACATGTACTGTACCGTCTTTATAGGACTCCTTTAGCTTTCTTGAAATCCACTGAATTGCTTTTGCTGCAATCTTCGTTCCAAAGTTCCTGTCAAATGGAGAAGGAGCGCCTCCCTTTGGAAATAAATAAAAACAAATTATCTGTTTTACTCAGGTCAGGTTCATGGGTTAGGGTTGTAGTAGGCTAATTTGTGTGTGCGCGTGCATGTGTAATGAACTAACCATACCTGCTGCATATGTCCAAGCACGTTCTTCCTGCAGTCAAACACTCCTTTCCCCTCCTCAGAGTACAGTTGGTTGATGAAATCTGTGGTGAAGTTCTCGTTGGAGTTCTCATTCCTGTAACGTCACATACACGTGCACGCACACACACACAATGTCAAGGTTCCATTTGTCCTGCTGCTGCGCTACAGGCTGACTCTTCCCTCTCAGTTCAGTCATTCAGAGCAATGATGAGTGGCCTCGATAGAGCCTCAAGAGAACATCAACAGTACAGGAAGAATTAGGGCCTGTTCAAAATATAAATAGGCCATAATTGTGATTAATAGTTCCAAAAAGTTTATATTTTAACATACAAATGAAGAGTTTTATTAGACAATTTGTATTAATAGCCTACACAGTACGGCATAAAGATAGTAAGACTATCATACATAGCTGGCTACGTACACATATGCCTTTATTGTTAACATACTGTCCATTTGTAAAGAGGCTATCATGCAGGATGTGAGCTCTGCCTTACTTACCTCAGCACCAAGCCTCTCTGGATCCCCGTCTTCATCTTCTCTGTCAAGTGCTCGACGTTGGACTGAAGCAGTGAGAAAATCCTCACATGTGATAAGTCTGAAGTATCCTAGAGTATTCCTCCTCTGTCTCTAACCTACATGAACTTTCAAAGCTGCAGAATGAAGCTAATTGTGGTCCTCTGTAGCTCAGCTGGTAGAGCACGGCGCTTGTAACGCCAAGGTAGTGGGTTCGATCCCCGGGACCACCCATACACAAAAATATATATATATGCACGCATGACTGTAAGTCGCCTTGGATAAAAGCGTCTGCTAAATGGCATATTATTTTTATTATTATTTATCTGCTGTGTCTCAGAGTACTGCAGTATGCTCTGGTGACCAGGAGGTGGCTCGCATCTTACAGATTTTCTGTCCATTTAGTTGAGCTGTCACCATTCACTCCAATCAATGTAGGCTACAGATTGAACATTATTGTAGCCCACTCATTACACAAAATCAACATGATCTTTTGTTTATAATGTGTGTGCTCTTTGCAACACATGGGTAAATATCAACATCAACTTGTTTCATAATGTAGCATATCCATAACATTAATTGCATTAAATAATACTTTCATTTTGATGTCATTGGTCTGATCTTAGAAGGAGACTGCATATTTTCTCCATAATCTGAGGGGCTCTACAATTTTTGTATACCTGAAAACAGCAATGTGTCTCTCTGACAATAAAAACTAGCACATCAACAACTCTCTCTAGTGATGTTGAGTAGACCTCCTCAAACTATAACAATGTTATCTGTCTTGATCAGAGCTTAACACTCCTGGAATAATGATGCTCTCTACCTATTAATAACTGCCTTATCTACGTACTGTAATGCACTGTATCTGGGTCACCTGAGCACTCCTAAAATAGAGGCCCCGTTGCGCTGAGGGATGAGAGAGTGATTGGCAGCTGGACAGTGAACAGAGTGTAGTTAGATTTGAGATTTTATTCATTTAGCAGACGCTCTTATCCAGAGCGAGTGCATACATTTTTCATACTGGTCCCCCGTGGGAAACGAACCCACAACCCTGGCGTTGCAAACGCCATGCTCTACCAACTGAGCTACACGGGACAAGTTTGATATGTTCAGTCATTGGTTGCTTCCTAAGAGGCAACATGTTTGCTTTACAGTACACTACTTTTGATCAGGGCCAATAGGGCTCTGGTCAAAAGTAGTGCACTATAAAGGGAATAGGGTGCCATTTGGGAAGCAAACATTGCTGTCAAGGATGCTCTTTCCTTGGAGTGTTGAATAAACTGTATAAATAAGACAATAGAACCATTGACAGCCACGTGGAGATTGCTCTCCATACTAAAAAAGGTGTTTTGACTTAGAAAGTTGTCACAGCTGCACATGTATCTACTGAGTAATTAACTATGATGTAAACATTTACGTTTGTAACAGTGTATACTGTGTAAAACTAGGGTTCCAAAATTCCCAGGTTTTCCATAAATCCTGGTTGGAGGTTTCCGAATTTCCTGCTTATTCCCTTCTGATTCCGAGAATCTTCCAACCAGGATTTCTATAAAAACTGGGAATTTGGGAAAGTTGACGGAATTTTGCAACCCTTTGTAAAACAATGGTCCTCACCTGGAGGTCTCTGATGTCGAAGGGTTCCTCATAGATGTAGACAGTGTCAGCCCCCGCAGCCAGCCCCCCGACACTGGCCAGGTACCCACAGTACCCCCCCATGGTCTCAATGATGAACACTCGCCGCTTAGTCCCACTGGCAGACTGCTTGATGCGGTCACATGTCTGACACACACACAGATGCTCATAGTCAAATCAAAGACACACTGTATGCGTCCCAAATGGCACCCTATTCTTTATTTAGTGCACTACTTTTGTCCAGGGCCCATAAGGCTCTGTTCAAAAGTAGTGCACTATAGGGAATAGGGTGCCATTTGGGATGCAATCACTGTAAGGTTATCAATAGCATGCAGACAATGTTATTTTGTTAGGTAGTAGGTACATACAAAAATGCTGTCTATACAGTAGGTATCAAACATGCTCACACAATTGCCTAAAACAATTGCCCATGTCACATTATAAACTGGGTGGTTCGAGCCCTGAATGCTGATTGGCTGATAGCCGTATACCACGGGTATGACAAAACATTTTTGCTGCTCTAATTATGTTGGTAACCAGTTTATAATAGCAATAAGGCACCTCTGGGGTTTGTGGTATATGGCCAATATACCACGTTGCGTCGTGCATAAGAACAGCCCTTAGCCATGGTACATTGTCCATGTACCACACCCCCTCGTGCCTTATTGCTTAAATATAATATGATCGTAAAATACAAACAGTATTGCAAGATTTACCAGGATGCAGAGTCTGATAAAGAATTCTTCTATAACGCTAAACCAGAAAACAGTTAGTAAAGAAAGAGTCATTCGAACTATTAAAGCATACATGTTCTAAATGCACAGATATGGGTTTGTGTACAGTATGTGCCTGTGTCAGTCTGTGTAAATGTGGGAGAGAAATTGTGGGAAATGTCTGTTGTCAGTCTATATCCCATGTACATTTGTGCATTCTTCTTTTCCACAATGTCAACTAGGGTCTGTCCAATAAGAGAATTCTTGCCCAAGCTATTTTAGTTTTTGTATTTTAGCTAATACAATGCTCATAAGTATACTTGTAGATCTCTAGGAAAGCATACCACATAATAATACAAATTGAGTGATGGTTGATAACTTTAATAGTATGGTATCATTTCACCCCTGTTGAAAGCTGTGTTCTAGCCTGAGTGCCAGTCTGTTTGTGCTATCATTCCAACTCCCTGTCACTCCTTGTCATGCTTGTCTTGACAATGACAGCAATGAAGTTGGCAAGAGCACAAACAGATGTGGGACCAGGCTATGTGAGTTCTAACTTACCTCCACAATGGCATTGAGGGAAGTGTCTGCCCCAATACTCAGATCAGTACCGGGCACATTGTTACTAATGGTGGCAGGCAGCATACACATCGGGATGCAAAAGTCCTCATGGCTGGTCCGGGCCTCATAGAGCTGCAGCAGACACTCAAACGCCTGGAGGTGGTGCAGCACAAACTTATTATACCACTAGGGGGAGCACTCTCAGGCTCAGAGAGAGACCCTACTACATGTTATCCTGACTATGGACTTTGTCCCAAATGGCACCCTATTCTCTATGTAGTGCTCTATTGGGCCCATAGGACTCTGGTCAAAAGTAGTGCACTATAAAAGGAATAGGCTCTCATTTGAAGGCAGACCCTACTGTTACCCTACTAGGGCCTGATCTAGAAAATGTAGTATCAGTGTGTGTATCCTGAGGGTGGCTCTCCGTGTGATAGGGGGGTTGGCTTGGCATCCCATTGGTAAAGAAGAGAAGGGTGGGGTTGGTTGGTCACCCTGGCTGGCAGATAGCCAGAAGTGTTGAAGTGGAAACAACAGTAGACTCTGCACTTGGCCTCACGACGTGAGGGAATGTTTGTACGCGAGTGGAAAAATGCTGGCTGTTATTCGTGAGGTCCACTACCGATGCAGACAGTGTTCAAAACAAGATGGAGGTCTGGCCTATTTCTAGACAACAATAAGATAGGCTAATACTGTTCTATGACACATTCAATCACCATTTTTCACTATCAGCAATAGATTCTCAGTAAACACAAATTAGATACTGTATTTGTTCACAACAAGTAGGTTACTTAAGTGAATTCACTTCCTTCTCCAATACAGTATAGTGACTATTCAAATGCTTTTCAGATGCTTAGTGAGAATCTAGTTTTGGTTGATGATGGAACTAAAATAACATATTTTGTGAAAGTAAAATGATTGGTTAGAGAAGACACCATCTAAATGTTAGCACTACTACTACTTCTACTTCATTAATACCCTTCCCTTAAAAACCTCCACCTCATCCAACTGGCTTATAGACATTTGTATAGCAGGATAGGAGTGTTGTAGAGATAGCAGGATAGGAGTGTTGTAGAGATAGCAGGATAGGAGTGTTGTAGAGATAGCAGGATAGGAGTGTTGTGCTAAACCAGACCAGGGACCAGTCAACTCATTGTGTTTAGTAAACACGCATAGAAAGGTGCAACTGCAGGCAGAACAACGCTAGCCGCAGGGTCAAAAACATGCCACTGACGTCACTTCATGCCAGTATCTATCACTTACCTGGGATCTGACTGAGAGCTCCACTATGATATTTACCAGCAACAACAACAGACACCAGAGGCTTCAGACTGAAAGACCTAGCCTTATAGGGCCAGTTTCCCAGACACAGATTAAGCCTAGTTCTGGACAAAAAAACATCTCCATTGAAAGTGCTTTTTAGTCTACGACAAGGTTTAAACTGTGTCCGGGAAACCGGCCCCTAATCAAATACTACTGTACCTCTCTGCATGGGTTGAGCTTCAATGAAAACACTGTTTTGTAACTGCTTCCTGTTTCTACTTTATTATTTCCCTTCTAAGGCTTTTTAAACTCTACCTAACTATTTTCCTTCAGACAATATAGTAGCACATGCATACCTCGGTCAACACAAATCAGTATGGTGCCTTTGGGTTGCGCTCAGTTATGTTCAGCCTGTTGTGATACTGGTACACGCCACGCCCCAAGCTGCAATCAGTGAAGTCCTTTATTCTGATTGGCTGGTAGGTGTTCTAAACACATCTGACCTCGCGACCTCTGACCCCCAGCCACACTTACATCAGTAATAGCATTTAAAGCTGTGTCTGCGCCAATGCTGAGGTCAGAGCCCGGTATATTGTTAGAGACCGTGGCATGGACCATAACCATGGGAACACATAATTAATTTATCCCGGGCAGCAGACAGTCCCATGACTCCCAGGAAGGCCTGCAGTACAGGGCAGAGCCAGAGCCTTAGAGCAAAGAGTTAATGCGTTTTCCCAAAATGGCCCTGGGCCCTGGTCAAAAGTAGTGCACTGTATAGGGAAAAGGGTGCCATTTGGGACACAACCATGAGTAAAGATGAGACAAGGTGGGCGGAGCCAGGGTGATGGAGCCAGGCCTATCACAACGGACAGTGTAACACAGACAGGAAGCACCACACAGTAATAATATTGTAAATATAGTAGCACAACTGTACATACCTCAAATCCACCGATAACAAGCAAAGCATTGATGTTATGTATCCTGATTTGTTCAGCAATCTTATCAAGATGCTTCGCTGGAAGGGTTCTGAAATCAGAAATGAAAATCCAATAATCATCTACACACTACAGTAAGTCAATGTAGATTTTTTTCAAGTTTTGAAACACTTGGTGTGCGTCCCTGTCACGACTTCTGCCGAGGCTGCCCCCCCTCCTGGTTCGGGCAGGCTTCGGCGTTCGGCGTCACCGGAGTACTAGCTACTGCCGATCCCATTCTCATCACTCCACTTGTCATGTCTTGTCAATCACACACACCTGGTGCTCATTCCCCTAATTAGTATGTGTATAAGTGTTCCCTCTGTTCCCCTTGTCTTTGTGAGTGATTGTTTGTTGTGAGAGCGTGTAGCTCAGTGGAGCTACTATTCACTGTGTTTATGCCAAGGTGGATGTTTTCCCTTGTAATAGTTTCGTTTGACGCTTGGGGCGTTTGATTTATGTAAACGGAATAAACTCTGGACTTCGGTATTTTACCACCTGCGCCTGACTCCTTCATTCACACCTCATCACAGTCCCAAAAGGCACCCTATGGGCCCTGTTCAAAAGTGGTGCACTATATAGGGAACATTAGCTTACCTCTTTGTTCCCAGTATGGACCCCCCTTGGCCGGTCCAACCTGCTACATCTCCCCATTTAATCTCCTTTATCTGTGTGAAGACAAAAACAACAAAACTGTGTTTGAGATTGAGGTTTCTAATGTGTTCTCCATAAAGAGTAGTCTCCATAAAGCTCTGCTAAATGCTAACATCATCAATACATTTATGCTAAATGAATGAATAACATTCTAAAAAGCAATCACAGCACATCAGATTTGCAATCAATGATATAGGCCTATAACATTTATCCTGCTTTGTATGACAGAATCAAATCAAATTTGTATTTGTCACATGCACCGAATACAACAGGTGTAGACCTTACCGTGAAATGCTTACTTACAAGCCCTTAACCAACAATGCAGAGTTGTTTTTAAAGTAAGTAAGAAAATATTTGCAAAAAAATAAAATTATAATAATAATAATAAACGAAAGTTTTAAAAAGTAGCACAATAAAATAACGAGGCTATATACAGGGAGTACCGGTACCGAGTCAATGTGCGGGGGTACAGGTTAGTCGAGATAATTGAGGTAATATGTACATGTAGGTATGGGTAAAGTGACTATGCATAGATAATAAACAGTGAGTAGCAGCAGCGTAAAAAAGGGGGTCAATGCAAATAGTCCGGGTAGCCATTTACTTAACTGTTCAGCAGTCTAATGGCTTGGGGGTAGAAGCTTTAAAGGAGCCTTTTGGACCTAGACTTGGCGCTCCGGTACCGCTTGCCGTGCGGTAGCAGAGAGAACAGTCTATGACTTGCGTGGCTGGAGTCTTTTAGGGGCCTTCCTCTGACACCGCCTGGTATAAAGGTCCTGGATGGCAGGAAGCTTGGCCCCAGCAATGTACTGGGCCGTACACACTACCCTCTGTAGTGCCTTGTGGTCGGATGCCGAGCAGTTGCCATACCAAGCGGTGATGCAACCAGTCAGGATGCTCTCGATGGTGCAGCTGTATAACTTTTTGAGGATCTGGGGACCCATGCCAAATCTTTTCAGTCTCCTGAGGGGGAATAGGCGTTGTCGTGCCCTCTTCACGACTGTCTTGGTGTGTTTGGAACATGATAGTTTGTTAGTGATGTGGACACAAAGGAACTTGAAGCTCTCGACCCACTCCACTACAGCCCACATTGATGTGAATGGGGGCGTGTTCGCCCCTTCTTTTCCTGTAGTCCACGATCAGCTCCTTTGTCTTGCTCACATTGAGGGAGAGGTTGTTGTCCTGGCACCACACTGCCAGGTCTCTGACCTCCTCCCTATAGCCTGTCTCATCATTGTCGGCGATCAGGCCTACCACTGTTGTGTCGTCTGCAAACTTAACGAGGGTGTTGGACTCGTGCGTGGCCACACATCGGGGGTGAACAGGGAGTACAGGAGGGGACTAAGCAAACACCCCTGAGGGGCCCCCGTGTTGCCTACCCTTACCACTTGGGGGCGGCCCGTTAGGAAGTCCAGGATCCAGTTGCAGAGGGAGGTGTTTAGTCCCAGGGTCCTTAAATTAGTGATGAGCTTTGAGGGGTTTGAGGGCACTATGGTGTTGAACACTGAGCTCACGGCTTGTCTGTACTGTAGCACACAGGCTATAATCTACCAACAGCACTTTACCCACATCTCACTCATCCACCAGTGTTGGCCAAGGTACATTAGCATTAGACAATGTCTGGATGAGCAGCCAATGCTTTTCAATCACTTATCCCTGCCTTCATGCTTTCGTCCAGTTGAGTGCCCAGGGCTTCGAAACAAAGACTGGCCCAGGCAGTGTTGTGAGGCCTGGGTGAGGGCGAGAGGCTTGGGTGAGAGAGTGACAGAGAAAGGGAGAGGGGGTGAGGCTAAGAGAGGGGGGGTGTGAGGCCTGGGAACTGGGAGAGAGGCCTGGGAACTGGGGATTAGAGTGAGGGTGAGAGAGAGGCCTATTTAGGGAGAGGGGGTAAGAGTGGCCTGCATAAGGGAGGGGTGGGGGTGAGAGTAAATGGCTTACTGTAAGCTGTTTATCTCCCCACACAAGTCTTATCTGTAAAACACCGTCAGTGCCAGCGTCATTGGCACATGGGTAAAGGTGACTTATACTGCTTTCACGGTATGTTGTCTGTAAAAACAATTGGGCAATGTTTATATGATCCCATTTCAAACAGCCCTATTTCTACCTCTTTCTTGTCAGCATTCACCTTTTATATCGCCATTGCTTTAGCAGGCCAGTAGCAAGAGATATTTAACTTTGACCCTAGCTCCTTGACCCTGTTGTTGCAACAGTTGGCATGGTAACATGAGTGACAGCAGCAAATTGTTATATTTCTTCACTTTTACAACAGTAAGTCAGCAGCTCGCCATACTTGTAAATAATTTTTAAATAATTTCCTTGTAATGTGTTAATTTTCCTGTTATGGTGAATAAAGAGTTGGCTACAGTTAAACTCAAAACATTGTCAGATATGTTCTGGTAATTATATGAGCCGGCTAGCCAGCTAGATAGCTAGCTAACAAGCTAAGGTTAGCAACAAACCAAAACATTGTCTAGAAAGTTTGCTTTGAGTTGCCTGGCTTGCTAGATTTAATAGCTACATATCCTAAATAAACGTTTAAAACGGATGGGTTTTTTGGTGCAAAAAAATAGAGCAGGTAACGTTGCTATTTGGACCAGGCTGCTGCGATGTAATGCAGACAGTCGTTTTTGTGTTGATACTTTTATGTCGGAGAACAACAATAGAATGTTCATGATATAATGCGTGCCAAAGCCGGTAAGATGAAAGGGGACATTTATACAGAGGGGTTGGCGGGACTTTTAAACATAATACCGCAATCATGACTAGGTCGGTCGGCGGAAATAAAAGTACCGGCAAAAAGTTGGCGGCATGCTAAAGTTCGCGGCAAAACGTCTTGGTTTGAAAAGTGTATTACAGTAGCCAGCTACTGTTCTACTCTGCAGAGCCAGTCAACAAGGTCACTATAACTTTTAGCTTACCTGTTTTCGCTGTCATGTTTTCATCACAGCGAACAGTCTGATATCTTTTGACCAAATATGTGGAAGTATTCTGGTTTTGCTAATGATTTTCAAGATATGGTGTAAACAATACTAGGTGACAAATATGGTCAAAATGTGTTTAGTGTCTTATCACGTTGACCTGTTGATCATGTGGCAGTGAGACGCTACTAACAATAACAGGAAGTAGGCGTCATAGGGCCGTGATAAGGGCCAATAATCCTCATTGGGCAAGAATGAAATGGCAACAAGGTAAACAAAACAGATTTATGTCTTAACCCCCCAGTACCTGTCCCTTGTAGAATCCCTCGAAGCCGTCATTAACGGCAAACATCTTGTGCCCCTCGGTGATGCCCACCCTGACCGCCGAGCGGACAGCTGCGTTCATGCCCGCGGCGGGGGCGCCCACGTTCAACACAGCCACGTTGAAGGAGCTCTGAGGATCAACAGCACAGCACAGCCGTCACACAGACATTTAGAAATACACACACACGCGCACATGCACAGACAAACACACTTATAGACAGCAAGAATGGCGTCAATTCTGTTTCAATTCAGTTAATGTCAAAACACTCATTGAAGATAAAATTCACTTTTTCAATTATTGAAATATAAATGGCCTCCAAGCCATTGACACACATATCAACAGCAAATCCCTCTGTATACAATATAGGAGCACATAGTGCTTGATGTTGAGGAGAAATGCTGTAAAGGCTTGGCAAAGCTGTTGTCTCTATGGAGAATGGAGCAGCACACATTGATAATCTCTAGCAAGGCCTCATGCTATGGCTCCAAGATGCTGCATCTTTATAGGCTGTTGTTGTACTTCATTCACATAGACCACTGGCACTGAGCTTAGGAAAATCCTTTAGCTGTCAATCACATGATCACAGTAAGATCATGGACAGATAGACCCCACATATAATGAGTGACCTCATAGGCGTGGTAATCACTTACATTCAACAAGTTAATGAACACAGTAACTACTACATTATACGGAAGCCCTGAACGGCTTTGTATCTAGTTTGAACGACTTAGCTGTGTTTTTTTTACTAAGTCATTCAAACGAGATACTAAGTCGTTCAAACGAGATACTAAGTTGGTTGAACGATTTACCTCATTTGAATGACTAAATTATTATTTTGTCTAATTAGGCCTAATTTGTTATGCAGCTTGTCAGACTGTGTAATGGTTGCTGCAGCCATTCATTCACTGATTCCATCCATTGATATTATTATTATTCATTGACAGTTCTTTGATAGCCTAAAGCAGGGCTGCTGTTTAATGCCAGAGCATGTAAGTGGTTGAGTGTGGAGCGAGGAGCAGAGCGTAATTCAAGCAGATAAAAAAATGGTCCTGCTCGGCCACAAGCTCTGCCTATCATTTTTCGTTTCTTTTATCACTATTCTTTATCACTATTCTTTTAATTACTGTGACCCCACCCACAGTAGCCTATATCTAGTTTATATTCTACTTTCTAACATTAGGATATGTAGTTTCTATTTTGCAGGACTTCAAATGTATGAACAGATGTTTTAGGTATGCAATACATAGGCTACTGTAAAAGGTATTTTCGTTTTTCTTGGAATAGAAACACCATAATATAAATCAATTTAATTAAGCTAAAATATCATAAATAAACCATAAATAATAAATGACAGTATCAGCTTCTTTTCATAAATAAAAGGGAATAAATCATTTCAAACTGCAACGGTCAAATGATTTGCGCACAGAAGCAAGCACCAACAAGGTTCACATGTGAGCGTGGGAAATGTGTTCTACAAATTGAAGATTATTATTGTTATTATAAAGACAGAGAAATACACATGTCAAAGCTTAATTACATAAAGGAATATTAGTGGGGATATAGCCATAATATTAACAAGAGAAAGGAGAATGGAATATATTTGAAAAGCTTAAAACTTAAAAATATATTGAGACGAAGCCACCGCCGTGTGTGGATGCTATTTCTAAAAAGTCTATTACATATATTTCCTGAAGTCGAATGACCAAAAGCGCCCTCTAGTGGTCTCATGGGTGGAATGTTATTAATATTTTCAGAATTTCATAATTAATTAACAATATTTATTTTAACTCGCCTAAAATCTGGTGTTTCTATGTCTGTCTTTTCTAATGTACAGTATATAAAGTGTAATATTGGGATTCAAACTCAAAATGGAATACATTTCAACTCTATATCTGACAGGGTACAGGTGTTTTCTTTTTTTAAGCCCATAACCATGTGTGTGAGGTGTATACTTTTACTTGTTCGATTTTTTTAGGAAACCAAGAAGCACTCAGTGTGACCCTGATTTAGCCCACTGCAGTAAAAGGTTAGTAGGGACCGGCACAGAGTCCAGTAGGACATTGTCACAAGGCTACATAGTCATAGGCCTACACTTCACCACTGCTGGAGGGAATACACAGCCGTCCTTGATTGTGAGCTAAATTGAAATGTTGAATTAAATGTGTGTGACACAAGAGGTAAACAACGGTTTTCAATCAATATAATCGGCGTCAGGAGGTAACGTGATATCATAACAGAATTGCTTTGACCACACTTACCGGTAGGACTAGTTATCTCGCGCTCTGGCAGAGAAGTAGCCTATGTGAGCACTTTAACAGTAGCCTAAATGTACAGTTAAAGTACGATAAATGAATGAACTTCAGAGATAACAGGCTGGTTTATGAACAACATGCTTTTATTAGCCTCCCAGAATCGCCTACAAAAATTGGTTTGTGATAGGCCTTCATTTGAAAGGTTTAACTTGCTATAACCTACAGTTCACAATAACAGGAAAAAATACATACATTTAATCACAAAATAAAATGAAGAGATACTAAACTTTCATGATGACACTTAGTTTAATCTTTGAATGTTGGCTAATGGTTTACTGAAACATAAGGAAGCTATCTGATTTTCAATATCACCGATGACAACAACCTATTAATTTGATAAGGCAAAGCCAAAAATATTGATTTGAAAGCATCCTTGAGAATGAGCACTTGAGAGGGAGAACCGTGTATAATGGATGGATTTAGCAGACAGGTGCAAAATAAATCCTTGCATTGCAGGGATCAACTTGCTGTGGCAGTTTTATAGCCTCATGCAGTAGTAGCAGTAACAATAATAATAATAATAATAATAAACCTTACTGACGCAGACCGATTAGGTTATTTAAAACACTTCCAAGCTACCAGGAGTAAAAAGCCACCTACTGGGCAAAACATTTCTGAGGGTGCACAGACTATTTGGACAATAATGTTGTGTGGAGTCATTTTTATTAGCGGAAAGAGGTTTAACTAATGTCTAATTGTGGGGTCCTTGGTAAACAAAAGTGTCACAATACATAGGAGCATATTTATCATGCCTTCTGCCAAACCTGGTCTGATATCGCAAAGAAGATTCGTCCTGTCCCTTTGGGGATTTAGATAATGAAACAGTAGAGCTGTTTTTTTTACGCACCAATAATCTGTGTTCTCTTTTGGTGATATCCCCATTGAACATGCCTTCTGTTACAGCCATGTATGTTTGATTACAGCCAAAAGCTGTTTTGTGGGGTTTGTAGTGTGTCTCTTATAGAAGATCTGATCATTCAGTTGCTTGAGTACTTCAGTTTTTATAGACAGCGCAGGGCGGATTACTATAAAGGCGTCATTCTGGAGATGTAGGGACTTGTTTCTCAGAGTGGTTAAAGTTATTCCTGACATCGGGGATAGAGGCCTCTAGCTTGGTGTGACACTCTGGCTCCATGGACTTTGATATTTGAGCCAGGGTTGTTCATTTTCATTTGTTTGGGTGTATTTCTATGTTGGGGTGTCTAGGTTGTTGATTTCTATGTTGGGTGATTGTGCTTGTTTAGTCATATGACTCCCAATCGGAGGTAACGAGTGTCAGCTGTCGGCTCGTTATCTCTGATTGGGAGCCATATTTATACTGTGTGGTGTCTCCTTGGTTTTGGGGGTTTTTGTTCCAGGTTCAGTCATAGTCACTGTAGGACTTCACTATCGTCATTTGTTTGTTGTTTTCGTGGTTGCTTTTATTTTAATAAAGTCATCATGTTCACTCCACGCGCTGCGTATTGGTCCGCTTCTTCAGACGATCGAGACAGAAAAACCCACCACAAAAAGACCAAGCAGCGTGTCAAGCGGCAACAGGACCTACCTACACAGGATTTATGGACTCCCATAAAGGATTCATGGACATGGGAGGAGATTCTGGATGGTGAGGGGCCTTGGGATCAACCGGGAGAATATCGCCGTCCTCGTGAAGAGCGGGAGGCAGCTAAAGCCGAGAGGCGGCGATATGAGGAGGCAGCACGGAGGCAAGGCTGGAAGCCCGAGAGTACTACCCAAAAATTTATTGGGGGGGGGCTAGAAGGGAGTGTGGCGAAGTCAGGTAGGAGACCTGCGCCTACTCCCTGGACGGACCGTGGAGAGCGAGAGTACGGGCAGACACCGTGTTACGCAGTAGAGCGCATGGTGTCTCCTGTACGCAGGCATAGCCCGGTTCGGTACATTCCGGCTCCACGTATCGGCCGGGCTAGACTGAGCATTGAGCCAGATGTCATGAGGCCGGCCCCACGCATCCGGTCACCAGTGCGTCTCCTCGGGCCGGCTTACATGGCACCAGCCTTACGCATGGTGTCCCCGGTTCGCTTACATAGCCCGGTGCGGGTTATTCCACCTCCCTGTACTGGTCAGGCGACGGGGAGCATACAACCAGGTAAGGTTGGTCAGGCTCAGTGCTCAAGGGAGCCAGTACGCCTGCACGGTCCGGTATTTCCGGCACCACCTCCTGTCTCCAGTCCAGTACCACCAGTGCCTACACCACGCACTAAGCCTCCTGTGTGTTCCCCGAGTCCTGTGCGTCCTGTTCCTGCTTCCCGCACTAGCCCTGAGATGCGTGTCCTCAGCCCGGTACCTCCAGTTCCGGCACCACGCATCAGGCCTACGGTGCGTCCCCAGGGTCCAGCATGCCCTGTTGCTTCTCCCCGCACTAGCCCTGAGATGCGTGTCCTCAGCCCGGTACCTCCAGTTCCGGCACCACGCATCAGGCCTACGGTGCGTCCCCAGGGTCCAGCATGCCCTGTTGCTTCTCCCCGCACTAGCCCTGAGATGCGTGTCCTCAGCCCGGTACCTCCAGTTCCGGCACCACGCATCAGGCCTACGGTGCGTCCCCAGGGTCCAGCATGCCCTGTTGCTTCTCCCCGCACTAGCCCTGAGATGCGTGTCCTCAGCCCGGTACCTCCTGTTCCGGCACCACGCACCAGGCCTACGATGCGCCTCAGACAGCCAGAGTCTGCCGTCTGCCCAACAGGGCCTGAACTGTCCGTCTGCCCAACGCCGTCTGAACTGCCCGTCTGCCCAACGGGGCCTGAACTGTCCGTCTGCCCAACGCCGTCTGAACTGCCCGTCTGCCCAACGCCGTCTGAACTGTCCGTCTGCCAAGCGCCGCAGGAACTGCCCGTCTGTACTGAGCCTGCAAAGCCGCCCGTCTGCCATGAGCCTTCAGAGCCGTCCGCCAGACCGGAGCCGGTAGAGCTCTCCGCCAGACAGGAGCAGCCAGAGCCTTCCGCCAGACAGGATCAGCCAGAGCCTTCCGCCAGACAGGATCAGCCAGAGCCTTCCGCCAGACAGGATCAGCCAGAGCCTTCCGCCAGACAGGATCAGCCAGAGCCTTCCGCCAGACAGGATCAGCCAGAGCCGTCCGCCAGACAGGATCAGCCAGAGCCTTCCGCCAGCCATGAGCAGCCAGATCCGTCAGCCAGCCATGAACAGCCAGATCCGTCAGCCAGCCATGAGCAGCCAGATCCGTCAGCCAGCCATGAGCAGCCAGATCCGTCAGCCAGCCATGAGCCGTCCAGCCAGGATCCGCCAGAGCCAGCCAGCCAGGATCCGCCATTCAGTCCGGTGCTGCCCCTTAGTCAGGTACTGTCCCTTAGCCCGGTGCTGCCCCTTAGTCCGGTGCTGCCCATTAGCCCGGTGCTGCCCCTTATCCCGGTGCTGCCCCTTATCCCGGTGCTGCCCCTTAGTCCGGTGCTGCCCCTTAGTCCGGTGTTGCCCCTTAGTCCAGGTGGGGTTAGTTGGAGGGTGGTCATTGGGAGGAGGCTACTGAAGCAGGTTGTGACTGTGGTGGGGTGGGGATCACGACCGGGGCCAGAGCCGCCACCGTGGACAGACGCCCACCCAGACCCTCCCCTAGTCCTTATGTTGGTGCGCCCGGAGTTCGCACCTTTAGGGGGGGGTACTGTGACACTCTGGCTCCATGGACTTTGATATTTGAGCCAGGGTTGTTCATTTTCATTTGTTTGGGTGTATTTCTATGTTGGGGTGTCTAGGTTGTTGATTTCTATGTTGGGTGATTGTGCTTGTTTAGTCATATGACTCCCAATCGGAGGTAACGAGTGTCAGCTGTCGGCTCGTTATCTCTGATTGGGAGCCATATTTATACTGTGTGGTGTCTCCTTGGTTTTGGGGGTTTTTGTTCCAGGTTCAGTCATAGTCACTGTAGGACTTCACTATCGTCATTTGTTTGTTGTTTTCGTGGTTGCTTTTATTTTAATAAAGTCATCATGTTCACTCCACGCGCTGCGTATTGGTCCGCTTCTTCAGACGATCGTGACACTTGGATATGTCTTTACTCACCAGTCTATAGTATGTATCCACAGCTGGGTCAATAGGCCCAGGTGGAATGAACGTACATGGAGCCCTAAACACACTTTTCGTGGGGACAGAGGAGTTGCAATCTCCAAAGAACAGTTTCAATTGCAATGTGCATATAAATGAGTAGTCGAACAGTTGCAGTTGTGCGTCCTGATATTCAGGCTGATTTGCTCCTATATGTGTTTTTTATTTTTTTATGTCTGTAAATAAAGTTTATTGCAATCAAATAAAAAAATGAACACAATAGATACTGTAAGAAATATATCAACAACAACAAAAAATTACATTGTGGAATAATAGTGTAGACATAAACTATGAAATAACACATATGGAATCATGTAGTAACCAAAAAAGTGTTAAACAAATCAAAATATATTTTATATTTGAGATTCTTCAAATAGCCACCCTTTACCTTGATGACAGCTTTGCACACTCTTGGCATTCTCTCAACCAGCTTCAGGAGGTAGTCACCTGGAATGCATTTCAATTAACAGGTGTGCCTTCTTAAAAGTTAATTTGTGGAATTTATTTCCTTCTTAATGTGTTTGAGCCAATCAGTTGTGGTGTGACAAGGTAGGGGGGGTATACAGAAGATAGCTCTATTTGGTAAAAGACCAAGTCCATATTATGTCAAGAACAGCTCAAATAAGCGAAGAGAAACGACAGTCCATCATTACTTTAAGACATGAAGGTCAGTCAATACGGAATATTTCAAGAACTTTGAAAGTTTCTTCAAGTGCAGTCGCAAAAACCATCAAGTGCTATGATGAAACTGGCTCTCATGAGGACCGGCACAGGAATGGAAGACCCAGAGTTACCACTGCTGCAGAGGATAAGTTCATTAGAGTTACCAGCCTCAGAAATTGCAGCCCAAATTAATGCTTCACAGAGTTCAAGTAACAGACACATCTCAACATCAACTGTTCAGAGGGGACTGTGTGAATCAGGCCTTCATGGTCGAATTGCTGCAAAGAAACCACTACTAAATACTAAAGGACACCAATAATAAGAAGAGACCTGCTTGGGATAAGAAACACGAGCAATGGACATTAGACTGGTGGAAATGTGTCCTTTGGTCTGATGAGTCGAAATTTGAGATTTTTGGTGTGGGTGAACGGATGATCTCCGCAAGTGTAGTTCCCACCGTAAAGCATGGAGGAGGAGGTGTTATGGTGTGGGGGTGCTTTGCTGGTGACACTGTCTGTGATTTATTTAGAATTCAAGGTACACTTAACCAGCATGGCTACCACAGCATTCTGCAGCGATACACCATCCCATCTGGTTTGGGCTTAGTGGGACTATAATTTGCTTTTCAACAGGACAATGACCCAACACACCTCCAGGCTGTGTAAGGGCTATTTTACCAAGAAGGAGAGTGTTGGAGTGCTGCATCAGATGACCTGGCCTCCAGAATCCCCCGACCTCAACCCAATTGAGATGGTTTAGGATGAGTCGGACGGCAGAGTGAAGGAAAAGCAGCCAACAAGTGCTCAGCATATGTGGGAACTCCTTCAAGACTGTTGGAAAAGCATTCCAGGTGAAGCTGGTTGAGAGAATGCCAAGAGTGTGCAAAGCTGTCATCAAGGCAAAAGGTGGCTATTTGAAGAATCTCAAATATAAAATATATTTAGATTTGTTTAACACATTTTTTTGGTTACTAAATTATTCCATATGTGTTATTTCATAGTTTTGATGTCTTCACTATTATTCTACAATGTAAAAAATAGTAAAAATTAAGAAAAACCCTTGAATGAGTAGGTGTGTCCAAACATTTGACTTCGCTTCTACTAAGCAGAACCATGAAGAAATAAGCAGTGAGGGTTAGGCTACAGCAACAGACACAGACATCTGTCATGTCTGGTTTAATCATGGCCCTATGGGGGTATTATTCTGCTAAAATACATATGTCGTTAGAAAAAATGCTGATCTAAAAGCTATTTGTTGCTCGATTCTACAGGGCTTTTTTTTTTTATAGGAGCCTGGTCCCAGATCTGTTTGTGCTCTTGCCAAGGCCATTGCTGTCATTGTCAAGCCAAACCCAAAGAGTTGGCATGATAGCACAAACAGACTGGCATTCAGGATGAAGGTATAGATATATTTCAAACTAATAGTTGGCACTTAGGAGCACTTAGCCCTGACCTAGAGCTGTTATAGCATAGTAGGCTACAGTATAGTACATACATTATATGGGGGCTCATCCTCATCCTATCCCCTCAAGACAGAAACAATTCAACAAACACTCTGTTAGTGTCACAAAAAGACCTCAGCATGACCCACAATGCACCTCAACAGGAAGTACCTGATCCTAACGTGCAAATCTGAGAAATGCTGGAATGACACAAACGCTAGAAGGAAATAAATATGAATGTCACAGTTCCTTTGTGAATGTACAATATTCATTTTATCTTGGGTTATCTGAGGTTACTTACATTTCGAAGTTCAGAGTCTGCTTTGTGGTAAGAGAGGAGTTTGTAGGTGTTCAGGTTGTTTTCGAAACTCCTGCAAAATATTAATGAAACATACTGTTATTCATCCCTCTACCATTGTGCAGAAGCCTCCTTACTGAGTTACATAATCTTATAAAGGCCAGTTGGAAATCAATCACAATTCAATGAAGCTGTAATGGCCCTGCTAGACCGATGGACAAACAAAGATATACAGCTTCCAAATACAGAGATTTCTGTTTATTTTACCAAATAAATAATGTACCTGCCACGCAGTCTCACGGCTTCCTCAAAATTCTTCTCGTCCATGGCTTTCTGGACGTCTTGTGTCTATTGAGAAAATAATTACGAATGGTCATTTGTCTCTAATCAACAGCCTACCAATTGTCTTTATTCATAATATATCTATAATGTATACTGTAGGTAGAAGTACTTGATGCATCTTGTGAATGGGGGTGAACAACATAAAAACACACCACTAAAATAGGGTAGGCTATCACTCCAAATGTGTGCTTCATTTACTGTTGAGTAAAGCAATATTGAACACACAGTGTAAGTGGCAGGCCAACAGCACTTACCATCTGAACACACTCCATGAGGGGCAGACGGACAGCCTGGTTCCCACACAGAGACACCACACAGGCCGGGGTACTGTCTGACGCCTCCAGCAGGGCCAGGACGGCCTCCACTCCCATACGACTGGCCTGGACAGACAGGGCAGAGGTCAAAGGTTACACCGTATTTTAATAGTGACTTGGTACACTGGGAAAATACTGTAACTTCAAGTTCAAGTTAGAAATTGCTTAATAGTATGAAATGGCATGCTCTTCAAATGATGATGATCACTCTGAAACTTTGGCTGCCTCATGGTCACTAACCAAAACAAGCAAACCAGGGATATTTTTCAGCTATTAGACAAGCAGCAGCACAAACGGCTGTGACTCCACCTGAAAAGTAGCGCACTATGTAGGGAATAGGCTGCCATTTGGGAAGCAATCCTGAGTCTATAAGGCCTTTTAATTATGTAAAATTGGTATGTGGATGTAACACTCACTAGGATCCTGTCGAAGGCAGAGGGGGTTCCTCCTCTCTGGACGTGACCCAGGATGGTGACTCGGGTGTCAAAGCCCAGACTGCTAACAACCAGCTATAGTAGGAGAGGAAGATCAGGTATTGAGCAATGTAAGTTTTCTCAAAGTAAGAGAGTACTTAAATAACACTGGTTACATCCCAAATGGCACCCTATTCCCTATATTATGCACTACTTTTGACCAGACAGCTCTGGTCAAATGTAGTGCATTATATAAAGAATAGTGTGCCATTTGGGACATAACAATTGTCTATTTGAAAACGTGATATTTGTGTTATGTTACATGATACACTATCTATGGCAGAAAGAGAATACAAATGCATGCTATTTCTTAGGAAGAAAGACAGAAGGGGAAAGCACAAGCACACATGCAAAACAGTTCCTGTCATGTACACAGTAAGTGAGCCTCCAACACTTACACCTTTTGTGTCCCAAATGGCACCCTATTCCGTATATAGTGCACTACTTTTAACCAGAGTCCAATGAACCCTGGTCAAAAGTAGTGCACTATATAGGGAATACGGTGCCACTTTGGACTCAAACCTTGTTCTTCTGTTCTCCCAGGTAAATGTACTGTATAAGACTCTTACCAGCACTCAGATCCTATAAGTTCTATATGTAATTCTATGCTTACCAGGTTCTTAGGTATGCTGACGAAGAACAAGGTTGCAATGCACAAAAAGGAAGGAGTATAATTCACAGAACTTCACATCACTAAGAAAGGTCCAAGAAAAGACTTCAGAGTTAAAACATGGACAGCATGTTGTTAATGGGACAGAGAGAGGGAGAGATGACAATGTCCAACCAGAAGGTACCACGGCACAAAGGAGTACTGTACCAGACCTGGGGTCAAAAACGATTTGAAATAATTTTAAATACTTAAGTTGGGCTTGATTGAGCTTGGCTGGCGCTTGGTACCAATTAAATAGTCTCAAAACTGCAAAGCCCACTCATCTGCTACTCTAGCAAACATTCAAAGTATTTGAAATATTTTTAATAGGATTTGAACTCAGGTCTGCAGAGGAGTACTGCACCAGTACAGGACAGCTGGGCTGGGCTGGTCTTCTCATAGTACTTACTTCCTTAATATGGTTTGTAGTGATAGGCTTGTTGTGGCAATCTATCGCCCCCTCAGCTACAATAATGATATTGAGCCGTTTCCTATCTGCACGGTTCTATAGGAATACAAACAAAGCACAGATGTACAGTACATGACAGAAAGGTTTTCCATTTGGCTTTTCAAAAGCTGGACCCGGTTTATGCTGAAACAGCTGCATGCCTTCTTTCTCTATATTTCACTTTACAGATTCCTTTCATCTGTAAAGCATGGAGCTATTCGCGCATCTGTAGGACCTGCTTTTGGTTTCCCCTTCGTTGCTTATTCAGGTACTCACATCCTTGACATTATCAACAGTAATAGCCTTTCCTTGTCTGTCAATGGCTCCTTCAGCAACTATGATTATATTCAGCCTTGAACCCCTGGATCGGTTCTGGGCAATAAGAAACACACTGCAGGAATGAACACTGTTGCTTTTGCTATGGTTGAAGGAAATGCAATAAACGACAACAATTGTGATCACTAAGCAGTACATCCCATTCATTGTAAGGCATTGATTAAAATGTATTTATAGTTACATCTGCAGATGTCAGATGTCACGTGTGTGTGTGTGTGTGTTACCTCAGACAGTTTCTGACACATCCGTTCCTCCCACCCGTCCTCAGGGGGCATCTCAGGGATCAGGACCCAGTCTGCCCCACAGGCCAGAGCACTGACTAGAGCCAGGTACCTAAACACATATATACACACACACACACATTAGAATATAATAAAATATAACTACATGCAAATACAAACCCATTTGTATGTATTATGAACAATTACAGCAAGGAAATACACAAGAATAAAGCAGGAAATTAGAGCAGCAAAGAAATGTCATTCCATACCCACAATGCCTTCCCATGACCTCCAGCACAAACGTCCTCTGGTGGCTGAGAGAAAGGAGAGAAGTTAGTGTAAATGTTGAGTGTGTACAAACAACACCACTGAGTTGTAATATGTACCATTTATTAACTTCAATGGATGCTTCCCAAATAAGTAGTGCACTATATAGGGAATAGGGTGCCATTTGGGACACAAAACAAATCAAATCCAATCAAATTGTATTTGTTACATGCGCCGAATACAACAGGTGTAGACCTTACAGTGAAATGCTTACTTACGAGCCCTTAACCAACAATGCCGTTTTAAGAAAGAATTTCAAAAAAAAAAATCACAGAAATATACTATATAAAATAATATATAACAAATAATTAAAGAGCAGAGTAAAAATAGCAATAGCGAGGCTATATACAGGGAATACTATACTGTCTCTGTCAGTACCTCTGTGCAGTAGTCATGATGGCGTCCACCACCTCTATGATTCTGTGCAGGGCAGAGTCTGTCCCGATGGTCATGTCAGTGCCACAGAAGTCGTTGTCGATGGAGCCCACCATTCCCACGATGTGCAGCTCTGAGTTGTTCTGGGCAGCCTCCTTCTCAATCAGACCTTTAAACAGGATACACAAGACACCGCAATATGAACCCACTGGCTTCACTACTGAGTAATGTACACTCATAGGTGGAATAGCTCTATACAGGCTTTGGTAATACCTAGTAATAAATGTTTTACTAAAACATATCATGCGTATAAATAAATGTTTTGCAATTTGCGTAGGAAATTAGTTATATAATTTAGTGATCAAGTAGATTACTGTGAACATTTGGTCCACTACATTGACTACAACATTCAGTTACTCTGTTGGACCAGTTCCTCCAGTAGTCCGGTCCACTCCTCTCTGAAGAGGTTGGCCCCCGTGAGGCTACCGTCCCCTCCGATCACACACAGGTTAGTGATGCCACGCTGAACCAGGTGGTGGGCAGCCTTTAGACGCCCCTCATGGCTGCGGAACTCCTTGCAGCGGGCACTGCCAATGACTGTGCCACCCTGAGAGGAAAACACAACAGCTAAGAATTCAAATGAATGGATGAATGACAGTTGGAAAGACGGATTGATGGATGGATGACAATTTAATTGATGGATAGATGAAAAGAGGTTGGATAGATAGATGAATAAAGATTGGATGGATGGGTGAAGGATAGATGGAGGGATGGATGGATGGATGGATGATTGAATGAATGTTGGAAGGATAGATGATAAATGTGGATGGATGGATGGATGGATGGATGAATGGGCCGATTAAGGTTGGATGGATGGAACACCAAACCAATGGATGACATAATCTGACACAATTGAGCACTGCTGCATTCATTGACATGTCTCATTAATTCAACCTCTCATATAGTTTTTTTTGTGTTGTGTGGTGTGTTTTGTTGTTGTCATTAACTAACAGGTTCATGCAGAATCCACAATGACAGGGCACATTACACTCTGTTAGCATCAGGCAGAAAAGCAACTGCGCTCGTCTGTCCCATGCAATTTGTAAATTACAAGTCTGGGATCACAAAAAGATTTATACCATTTTGTATTTGTACTTTATTCTGGATCCCCATTAGCTGCTGCCAAGACAGCAGCTACTCTTCCTGGGGTCCAATCACAATTACATACAATAAAACATGTCTGAGCTGTGTGTGAGTCGCTTAAACAGATAGCTCAATGATTTCACCATGTCAATACCGCTCACAAAGTAATGCAGTCAATCTCTCCTCCACCCTGAGCCAGGAGAGATTGACATGGATATTATCAATGCTGGCTCTCCGTGTACATCTAAGGGCCAGCTGTGCTGCTCTGTTCTGGTCCTACTGTAATTTGCCTATATCCCTCTTTGTGTCACTTGACTATATGACTGGACAGTAGTCCGGGTGCAACAAAACTAGGGCCTGTAGTACTTGTTTTGTTGATAGCATTGTTAAGAAGGCAGAGCAGCGCTTTATTATGGACTGACCTCTCCCCATCTTAGCTACCATTGCATCAATATGTTTTGACCATGGCAGTTTACAATCCAGGGTTACACCAAGCGGTTCAGCCTTCGTCTCCTCAATTTGCTAAATTTCCACATTATTCATTACAAGATTTAGTTGAGGTTTAGGGTTTAGTGAATCATTTGTCCCAAATCCAATGCTTTTAGTTTTTTTATATTTAGGACCAGCTTATTTCTTTCCACCAATTATGAAACTGACTGCAGCTCTTTGTTAAGTGTTGCAGTGATTTCACTTGCTGTGGTAGCTGACGTGTACAGTGTTGAGTCATCAGCATACATAGACACACATAGACTCAGTGCCAGTGATTTAAAAAGGTAAGGGGCCTAGACAGCTGCCCTGGGAAATGCTTGACTCTACCTGGATTATGTTGGAGAGGCTTCCATTAAAGAACACCATCTGTGTTCTGTCAGACAGGTAACTCTCAATCCACAATATAGCAGGGGGTGTAAAGCCATAACACATACATTTTTCCAGCAGCAGATTATGATTGATAATGTCAAAAGCTGCTCTGAATTCTAACAAAACAGCTCCCACAATCTTCTTATTATACATTTTTCTCAGCCAATCATCAGTCATTTGTGTAGGTGCCGTACATGTTGAATGCCCTTCCCTATAAACGTGCTGAAGGTCTGTTGTTAATGTGTTTACTGTGAAATAGCATTGTATCTGGTCAAACACAATTTTTTCCAAAAGTTTACTAAAGTTTGGTAACAGGCTGATTGGCTGAAGGGTGCTTTGCTATGACTTTCAGCTCCTATTCCTAGCATTGTATACTGTACATATCCTATGGGAATGCTAAAGAAATCCATTTATTTTGCCTAAAGGCACAAATACACACAGTAGTCAGTTCACTGCCCTCCTTACCACTTGTAACATGCTGGAGACACTTTCCCATGATGCCTCTTCAATGTTATCTCCACCGTCTACCATACCCTGGTAACCCTGCATGGAGAAAAGAAACATTAACATAGGCCTATATTTCCTAATATTAATATGAACGTTTTCACCAATTACAATGTTGTTACATAGTAACAGTCATTGACTCTACAATGCAGCTTTGCTAACATCAGGGATATTGACATTCATTTTGAGATGACGATGCTAAGTCATGCTAAATACTGCCTGTAGAAAAAGTAGACAACAGATTATCGTAGATACTGTCACTACTGGTCTACATAGACAACTCAAGGTATCCTCCGTCCTCCATTGAGTCAGATAGATAACAACACGTTAAAGTACTGTAAGCCTCTTACTTTCAGTGTCTGCGTCCCAAATGGCTTCCTATTCCCATATATAGTGCTCTACTTTTGACCAGAACCCCATGGGCCCAGATCAGAAGTACTGCACTAAATAGGATACCCTATGGGCCTTGGTTAAAAGTATTGCACTATATAGGGCACTGGTCAAAAATAGTGCACTATATAGGGAATAAGGTGCCATTTGGGACGAAGCTAGTGAGTGTGATGTGAGCCTCCTCAACAGAATGCCTTTCATCAGTCATTAAACACTAGAGCAGGGGTGTCAAACTAATTTTAGCTCAGGGGCCACATGGAGGAAAATCTATTCCCAAGTGGGCCGGACCGGAAAAATCATGGTATATATAACTTAAAAACAACAACTTCAGATTGTTTTCTTTGTTTTAATACGATCAACATACAACATAAAGCTGGAGCCTGAGGACAGTGTGTCCAAAATAGTACAAGCACAACATCACTATTAATTATAAAACACGTCAAGTTTATTTGAAAATTCTAAAGAAAAAGAACACACAAACACACAATGCCTCAGTGATTAACAGAACTGTTTCACAGATCACAGAACTATATCAGGGTGTCATTTCTCAGGCAGAAATGTAGATAAAAATAATGAAATCCTGTTCCCCAAACAAGTGCAAGAACCACAGAGTCAAGAATAGGTTAAATATACAAATAAAATAAAATCAATTAAAAACAATAGCACATCAACATAAAAACATATAAACATAAAGCTGGAGCCTGAGGACAGTGTCCAAAAGCACAACATCACTATTAATCATAAAACACCTCAAGTTATTTGAAAGTTCTGAGGACAAAGAACACACAAACACACAATGCCTCAGTGATTAACAGAACTGTTTCACAGATCACAGAACTATATCAGGGTGTCATTTCTCAGGCAGAAATGTAGATAAAAATAATGAAATCCTGTTCCCCAAACAAGTGCAAGAACCACAGAGTCAAGAATAGGTTAAATATACAAATAAAATAAAATCAATTAAAAACAATAGCACATCAACATAAAAACATAAACATAAATCTGAAAGCGTTGCTCAAACTCCCGTAACAGTCCCGTTATTTTATCTTTGAACCGCTTCATGTCTGCCACATGTTGGGTCGCGCACACATTTTTCAGACAGGGGAAGTGAGCTGCATCACCACCGGCAAGTTGCGTCTCCCACAATGACAGCTTCAACTTGAAAGAACGTATGCTGTCATAATACTGCGTGACAACTTTGTTGCGCCCTTGCAGCTGTTTGTTCAAGTTATTCAGGTGCTCTGTAACATCCACCATAAATGCAAGGTCCTGCATCCATTCTGCGGAATGAAATTCTAACACTGGTTTGCCCTTTTCTTCCATGAACTGTTCAATTTCTTCTCGTAAATCAAAGAAACGCCTCAGCACAGCACCTCGGCTTAACCATCTTACCTCAGTGTGGTATGGCAGGCCATAGATGTGGTCTTTCTCTCTGAGAAAGCTGTCAAACTGACGGTGATTCAGGCTTCTGGATCGGATGAAATTAACAGTTTGGATGACCACCTTCATGACGTTATCCATCTTTAATGACTTGCAACACAAAGCCTCCTGGTGCAAAATACAGTGAAAAGTCCAAAAATCACGTCCTCCATTTGCAGATTGCACTTTCTCTCTGAACTTTGTCACAACGCCTGCTTTTTTCCCGATCATTGAGGGCGCACCATCTGTAGCCAGGCTGACAGTGCGGGACCAGTCCACTCCGACCCTGTCCAGCGCGCCGACGAGTGCGGTAAAAATATCAGCTGCTGTCGTTGTATCTGTCATCGGCACCAACTCCACGAACTCCTCGGTGACGGTCAATGTGTCATCAACTCCGCGGATGAAAATGGCCAGTTGTGCAACATCTGTAATGTCCGTGCTTTCATCAATTGCAACCGAAAACGCAATAAATGACTTTACTTTTTGCTTCAACTGGCTGTCCAAATCCACTGAAAGATAGGAAATTCTGTCTGCAACTGTGTTTCTTGTCAGGCTGATATTTGCAAAAGCCTGCCGCTTTTCAGGGCACACAATCTCCGCTGCCTTCATCATGCATGTTTTTACAAATTCACCCTCACTAAATGGTTTTGAAGCCACTGCGATTTCATTAGCAATGAGGTAGCTAGCTTTCACTGCAGCGTCACTGATGTCTCGGCTGTGAGTAAACACAGACTGCTGTTTCTTCAGACCCGCCAACAGTTCATTCACCTTCTCTCATCTCCGCTGTCCTTGAAAGTTGTCATATTTGTCGGCATGAAGACTCACATAGTGGCGACGAAGGTTATATTCTTTCAGCACTGCAACATGCTCTGAACACACCAAACATACAGCTTTCCCATTCAATTCCGTGAATAAATAGGATGACCATTTTTCTTGGAACACTCTGCACTCTGCGTCCACTTTTCTCTTTTTTGACAGAGACATATTGGGGCAATGAGGGTGCCAAAGCACATAATGTTAAAAGTAGAAGCCGTAATAAATATCGCGGGCAAAACAAAGTAGCTCATTGGCTGCACGTGCTTGACCTACTTGCTCTGCCGCGGTATAAACAATTTGCTTGCTTAACACAATTGCTATTGCGCCATCCAGTGGACGCAATTTGAACAGCAGTTTATTTTATTGAAAAATTGCAGCGCATTTTTATACTTTACAAAAAAATAATTTATATAATAATATTTTTTTTTTCATTTTTTTTTTCAAAATCATCTCGCGGGCCGGATTAAACCCGTTTGTGGGCCTGATCCGGCCCGCGGGCCGTACGTTTGACACCCCTGCACTAGAGTCTCTAACAATAGACAACACTTAAGCAAAGTTCCCTGGCACTATTTCCACATGGTATCGTTTTAGCATTTGTGGCAGAAATTCCATTCAAGTCATGGGACCAATATTAGCATTTGTCGCGCATCATGTTCAAATCATCTAAGTGACTTTGTTGAGCTTCACAATAAATTGTAGATACTTTTGGATGATTTAGACATGATGCATGAAAAATGCTTATATCGGTCCCATAACTTGAATGGGATTTGTGCCACAAATGCTAAAATGTTAGCATGTGGAAACAGTGCCAGGGGGGAAAAAACAATGCATGAATTGCTGTCCTACCTTGTCCATAGACTGCTTACAGGGTAAGGAACCAATGTGTAATTTTGAAATTTGGGTGAACTATCCCTTTAAGAAGCTGCTTATGTATGGGAAACTTATCCCACTACCAACTGCTCCCATTTCCTATAAAGGGCCCTGGTCAAAAGTAGTGCACTATATAGGGAATAGAGTGACATTTAGGGCAGACTCCATGACATGGCAAAATGTTAAATAACCTTACTTTACCTTATTTTCATGACCCTCAAATTAAACACAACACATTTTGTTTATCAGAGCCCTACTGCTGTGTTGAAAGAAAGGCTTTGCCCCCTGAGCACAGAGCTTGCCAGTGTTGATTTGTCTCAGTGTCAGTGGTAGAACAGTACAAGCCCCCAAGTAGTGTCTGTTATGATCTCACCTCATGTATGAAATAGACTTTAGCTCCCACATAAATACCCATGCGGACCACAGCCCGGACAGCAGCATTCATACCTGCACAACGAGAGAGAGAGAGAGAGAGAGAGAGAGAGAGAGAGAGAGAGAGAGAGAGAGAGAGAGAGAGAGAGAGAGAGAGAGAGAGAGAGAGAGAGAGAGAGAGAGAGAGAGAGAGAGTGAGAGAGAGAGAGAGAGAGAGAGAGCGAGAGAGCGAGAGAGCGAGAGAGAGAGAGAGAGAGAGATAATTAAAAATGGCAGTACATGAATGGCTATTGCACAATGCATGTTACATACAGTAGACTACAGACTGAAAATACTCATCAGGGAGATGGAATGAATCAACCAAATTAAAGTGATGTCCCACTGGTCACACACTAGTTGACTCAACATTGTTTCCACATCATTTCAATGAAATTACGTTGAACCAACGTTGAATAGACGTTGAATTGACGTCTGTGCCCAGTGGGGTGCTTCGTCCAGCAGAGAAAGATGCTTGCGTAGCCATTGGCCATGTGTCATTGGATTAATTCAATATCTAATACATTTTCCATTCACAGTCTGAAAACAGATCATAATGATTACAAAAACTGGCATCTTAGGTGCACCGAAACTACAAGCACTGTCACCGGTACTGTGGGTTGGCTGGTGCCAAAGCAGTGTTGCTAGGATACCAGTAACAATATAAAATGCAGGAGTTTAGTGTACACATGGAGAATGGCACAGATTTCTCAATGTGGGTTAATAATGATAAACACTTCAAAAGTTCTTAATCCCACTGGAAGATTTCCTGAAGCATGCCAATGGTTCTGTGAGTCATTATAGAAATCCCCCTATATACAGAACAAACTGATATTTTCTGGCAGGTAAGACTTGCAAGCGGTTTTTACTAACATCATGTGAGAAAATATGCATATTGCATTCTCTAGTCTACAGGGTAGGCTACAGGATGGAGTGGTTATGCAAATTACTTTCTAGCCTAGACCACACCTGGATTCTGATGGGACATTGGCTTGATACAGAGATCCAAACTTGTATCCCAATCGCACCACATTCCTGCTGTGTAGACAGTGGTAGATTACGTGGTAGGTAGTCTTGCACGAAGTGCATGGTATTATCGCAGCCCACTGTCTTCAAAGCAGGAATGTGGTGTGATTGCGACAAAGGTTCGATTCAGACGTTTATTTGATAGCGAGGGACACATTTAACCTAACGGAAGGTAAATATTGTTCCTAGAGATTATGGATATGTCTTTGTGTGGCGAAGACGTGCAATGCACGTCTCTCTCCACTAATGCGCACTGACTCCCGCCAAATCATGCCCATTCATTGTGTAATTGTGTGAATTGTTTTCCATTTGTTTGTCAGTGTTTACCAATGCCCCGTTAAATATATAATCATCAGTGAAGTTTCCATTAATCCCCACCATTCACACAGTAATCTAGAATGTCTGGTTAAATTCTCTTCTATTACAGTAAAATAATGTCTGAATGTGTTTCTGTGTCCATATGACCGATTCTGTTGGACCAAACCTCAAATAAAAATGGCGATTTGAAACTGCTTGTTGTCAGAGTGGAAGAAGTGATCTTTTCATCTTTGTTGTTTTGAGTGGCAGAGGGAGGGATTTGGTGTGTGTGTGTAAGTAGGAAGGTGCACACATTATATACCATCATCTCTGACACAGCACAGAGCACAAAGGAGACAAGACCAAAAAGACAACGTCAAGCTGACATAAAAACTCATAAAACAAAACAAACAAAAAACTGGATTCTTGCAATACAGGCATTTGGAATATTGCAGTAAAACGTACATTTTAATTAATCAAATTAATGTGATATATCGCCCAGCCCTATTCATCAGTTCACTTTGGTAACTCAATGGAGAGGTTGTATCTCAGCCTAGTAGAACCTAGGCGATCAAACTCAACTCCACGATTTACGATGGAGTTGAGCAGCGACTAGTGTGGGCTGACTGGAGCGCCGACGTCACATAAAATGAAGTTTCTATCAAAAACTACTGATTTCAGCACCCAAAGAATAGCCCACAATTACATTGTTCCCTGACGTTGTTCTGCGACATTGTTTACAACATTCTTCTTCCTTTTATGTGATGTCGGAGCTCCAGTCCGCCCACGCTAGTCAAAGCTCAACTCCATCGTAAACCATGGAGTTGAGTTTAGTCGAGTTTAGTCTGTGAAGTAGAACCCAGCTACCTGTGCTTTACTGATTAAGACAGGTTTTGCCTGATAAGAGGCTTTTTCTTTTTGAATTCTGACATTTTAAAGTCAGAAGTTTGTATATAGGCTACCTGTACATTTATCACCGTCATCTTGAACACCAGTGCTGTGTAAATAAATCCACATCTACCTGCATGCCTCCTACTAAACCTTTGTCCTTACGACTGCTACAAGGTCCCTATTTTACGGGACATTTGGCTGATACAGAGATCCAAACTTTTGTCCCAATCGCACCACATTCCTGCTGTGTAGACAGTGGTAGATTGCGTGGTAGGTAGTCTTGCACGAATGGTGTGGTCTAATGGCAGTCCACTGTCTACACAGCAGGAATGTGGCGTGATTGCGACAAAAGTTTGATTCAGATGTTTATTTGATACCGAGTGAGATGGATATGCCTTTGTTTGGTTAAACCGAACACTTTAGTTATATTTGGTCAAGGACCAGGCAATGGAATTTCTCGCAACTGGATCTCTGTATCAGCCCTATGTCTCGTCAGAATGCAGTTGCGTTGGAAGCTAATTGTTTTCTCTCCAGCAACAGAATACAGTGTATTTCACAACACAGGCATACAACCTCTTCCTTTCAGCACAACTGACCCTTCAAGATAGTATCAAGCAAATTAAAAAACAGCAGGCCAATGAAATACAGAGACATAACACTGTGTTTGAAGGCAATAAGAAAGGCCACAATATTAGGGCCATGCACAGTAACAAAGATAAAGCTGCGGTGTAGGGTTGGGTGATAAACTATATATACAAAAGTATGTGGACACCCCTTCAAATTAGTGGATTAGGCTATTTCAGCCACACCCGTTGCTGAGAGGTGTATAAAATCGAACACACAGCCATGTTATCTCCATAGACAAACATTGGCAGTAGAATGGCCTTACTGAAGAGCTCAGTGATTTTCAACGTGGCACCATCATAGGATGCCACATTTCCAACAAGTCAGTTCATCAAATTTCTGCCCTGCTAGAGCTGCCCCGGTCAACAGTAAGTGCTGTTATTGTGAAGTGGAAACGTCTAGGAAAAAACAACAGCTCAAACGCGAAGTGGTATGCCACACAAGCTCAAAGAACGGGACCGACAAGTCCTGAAGTGTCTGTCCTCGGTTGCAACACTTACTACCAAGTTCCAAACTGCCTCTGGAAGCAACGTCAGCACAAGAACTGTTCGTCGGGAGCTTCATGAAATGGGTTTCCATGGCCGAGCAGTCGCACATAAGCCTGTGATCACCATGCGCAATGCCATCTGGCAGTCCAACGGACTAATCTGGGTTTGGCGGATGCCAGAAGAATGGTACCTGCCCCAATGCATAGTGCCAACTGTAAAGTTTGGTGGAGGAGGAATAATGGTCTGGGGCTGTTTTTCATGGTTCGGGCTTGGCCACTTAGTTCCAGTGAAGGGAAATCTTAACGCTACAGCATAAAATGACATTCTAGACGATTTGTGGCAACAATTTGGGGAAGGCCATTTCCTGTTTCAGCATGACAATGCCCCCGTGCAAAAAGTGAGGTCCATACAGAAATGGTTTGTCGAGATCGGTGTGGAAGAACTTGACTAGCCTGCACAGAGCCCTGACCTCAACCCCATCGAACATCTTTGGGATAAATTGGAACGCCGACTGCGAGCCAGGCCGAATCGTCCAACTCTTGTGGCTGAATGGAAGCAAGTCCCTGCAGCAATGTTCCAACATCTAGTGGAAAGCCTTCCCAGAAGGGTGGAGGTTGTTATGGCAGCAAAGGGGGGACCAACTCCATATTAATGCTCATGATTCTGGAATGAGATGTTCGACAAGCAGGTGTCCACATACTTTTGGTCATATAGTGTATGTCAGTCTTTAACAAGGCTGGAGAACTGACAGTGTACAAGCTCAGTGAGCAGAATAGAACAGATCACATTAACTGGGATGACATTCCTTCTCATGGGAGCAGAAAGCCACACCTGCAATATTATGATAGGCTGCCGCTTCTACATTATGCTGCCAATTATCAAGTAATGTTGCATGTTGTCAACAGAAGAGTCAGTGAAGGCAGAGTACCTTACTGGCATGTATTGCTAGTGGCAGCCAGTTGCCTGTAAGTTATTGCTAATTTTACAATAACTTACTGACAAATGTTTTCCAGTTAAGAAAATACAAATTCACAGCAATCTCTAACAACAAGTTGCCGTTACATTACTGGAAAATTCACAATAACCTCATTACAGTGCAGCTTGTTAGTGACACATGCTCTTACACAGTTTGCAGAAGAGGTGCTCAACTTGCATTGGCATAATCATTAAACACTTAAACTGCTACAACACTTCCACTGATGGTTGGCACGAATAAACATATATTTGACCACATCCCCAAATATGCTAATGAACCCCACCAGTACATTTCCCGCACCTATCAAAGCGCAATGATGATCGCACCTTATATTCAAAATATTGGGTGGTAAAATGTCCCATTATACCTACAAGTTACCGAACTGTACAATGTGAGTTCATATGTGTACGTGTGAAGTGTACCTTTGACTTTTTTGCACCCCAGAAAACAATACTGCAGCCTAATTATACCCTTATTTTTGGAGAATGTGTTAATACATGTTCCAAGCAAGAAGTATGAACCTGGTGGCACTGCGGAAACATTGACGGTGACACGACTTCCTCCGAAGCTGCCACCTCTCCTTGTTCGGGCAGGCTTCGGCGTTCGTCGTCACCGCTCCGCATCTCATCATTCCATTTGTTTTGTCTTGTTTATTACACACACCTGGTTCATATCCCCTCATCAGTACCTGTATAAGTGTTCCCTCTGCCCCCTTGTCTTTGTGTGTGAGATAGTTTATTGTGGAGGATAGTGAAGCTCGGTGGAGCTCCGTGTATTTTGTATCGCCGGGATATTTCCCTGTGTGCCGTGTATTTCCAGTGTGCCTGTTTTGCGCCCTAGAGTGTTTTGACGCATTTCTGCGTAACTCTGTAATTGCGGAATTAAGCCTGTTATTCTGTGATTAACCCTCTTGCGCCTGACTCCTTCGACATCACCTCATCACACAATCACATACCGGACATGGAGTCAGCAGGAGAGGAACACATGACTGGAGTCGTTGCACGTATCTGGGAGCATTCGATGATGCTAGCCAGCTTGGGAGAAGCGATGGATCGTGTCCCCCACCCCCCAAACCCGGATCCCAAGGACATGTAGCTGGATAGAGAGGCGATCCGGGAGAACGGAGGACGACAGCACCAGTGTCACTCACATTTTCATGGCCGCAGAGGGTTCTCACGGGGTGGTCACGAGAGTGTCAGGGTAGGTGTCTAGGGGTTTCTGTTGGTGCAACCACGGTGGAAAGTCCAGACACTACCTCTACCGTGCGCATTCCCCCCAAATACCTAGATTTGGCGCACACGTTTTCCAAAAACGCAGGCGACCAAATTACTACCTCATCGGGCGGGGGATTGCGCAATCAAACTCCGGGTAAACGCTGTGCCTCCCAGGAGTAATGTGTATCCCCTGTCGCAGGCTGAAACGGAGGCGATGGAGCCATCCCTGCGCCAGGGGTTCATACGTCCCTCCACTTCGCCCGCCTCCTCAAGTTTATTTTTTGTGAAGAAGAAAGACGGAGGTCTGCGCCCTTGCATTGATTCCTGAGCACTGAACATGGGGACAATACGTTATAGTTATCCTCTACCCCTCATTCCATCTGTGATCGAGTCAATGCATTATGCGCGCTTCTTCACAAAATTAGCTCTCCGGAGTGCGTACAACCTGGTGCGTGTCCAAGAGGGGGAAGAGTGGAAGACAGCATTCAGCACAACCACGGGGCATTACGAATACTTGGTGATGCCTTACGGTTTTATAAATGCTTCATCCGTCTTCCAGTCCTTTGTGAACGAGGTGTTTCGGGACATGCTTGGTCGCGGTGTAGTGGTCTACATCGATGACATTCTGGTGTATTCCGCTACATGCGCCGAGCATGTGTCCCTGGTTCGCAAAGTGCTGGCCAGACTGTTGGAACATGACCTTTATGCCAAGGCAGAAAAGTGTCTGTTTTTCCAACAGTCCGTCTCCTTCCTCGGATACCGCATTACCACCTCAGGTGTGGAGATGGAGGGAGATCGCATTTCAGCCGTGCGTAATTGGCCGACTCAACCACGGTCAACGCTCGGGCACGCCACCCAAGCTCCGCCCCTGTGCCTTCTTCTCCAAGAAGCTCAGTCCGGCGGAGCAGAGCTATGATGTTTGTGATCGGGAGCTGTTGGCTGTTGTCCGAGCCCTGACCGTTTGGAGGCACTGGCTCGAGGGGGCGAAACACCCTTTTCTCGTCTGGACGGACCACCGTAACCTGGAGTACATCCGGGCAGCGAGGAGGCTGAACCCTCGCCAGGCCAGGTGGGCCCTATTCTTCACCCGGTTTGATTTTACTCTGTCTTACATCCCTGGTACGAAGAATGTGAAGGCAGACGCACTGTCACGGCTGTACGACACAGAGGAGAGGCCCATCCTGGTTGTTGTGGACCGCTTTTCTGAAGCCTGCCGCCTCCTTCCTCTGCCTGGTCTCCCCACGGCCCTGCAGACTGCGGAAGCCCTGTTTCACATGTCTTCCGGCACTACGGGGTGCCAGAGGACATAGTGTCTGACCGGGGTCCCCAATTCATATCCGGGGTCTGGAAGGCGTTCATGGAACGTGTGGGGGTCTCGGTCAGCCTGACCTCTGGTTTTCACCCCGAGTCTAATGGGCAGGTGGAACGGGCGAATCAGGATGTGGGTAGGTTCCTGCGGTCCTACTGCCAGGACCGGCCAGGGGAGTGGTCGGTGTTCTTGCCATGGGCCGAATATGCCCAGAACTCTCTCCGCCGGTCACGACTTCCTCCGAAGCTGCCACCTCTCCTTCTTCGGGCAGGCTTCGTCGTTTGTCGTCACCGGCCTTCTAGCCACTGCCGCGCCGCATCTCATCATTCCATTTCATTTGTTTTGTCTTGTTTATTACACACACCTAGTTCATATCCCCTCATCAGTACCTGTATAAGTGTTCCCTCTGCCCCTTGTCTTTGTGTGTGATTGTTTATTGTACAGGATAGTGAAGCTCGGTGGAGCTCCGTGTATTTTGTATCGCCAGGATATTTCCCTGTGTACGTTGTATTTACAGTGCGCCTGTTTTGATGCATTTCTGCGTAACTCTGTAATTGCGGAATAAAGCCTGTTATTCTGTGATTTACCCTCCTGCGCCTGACTCCTTCGACATCACATCATCACAGATGCACTCAACCAAGAGGTTGCAAATTCATGTACAGTGAGGGAAAAAAGTATTTGATCCCCTGCTGATTTTGTACGTTTGCCCACTGACAAAGACATGATCAGTCTATAATTTTAATGGTAGGTTTATTTGAACAGTGAGAGACAGAATAACAACAAAAAAATCCAGAAAGACGCATGTCAAAAATGTTATAAATTGATTTGCATTTTAAGGAGGGAAATAAGTATTTGACCCCTCTGCAAAACATGACTTAGTACTTGGTGGCAAAACCCTTGTTGGCAATCACAGAGGTCAGACGTTTCTTGTAGTTGGCCACCAGGTTTGCACACATCTCAGGAGGGATTTTGTCCCACTCCTCTTTGCAGATCTTCTCCGAATCATTAAGGTTTCGAGGCTGACGTTTGGCAACTTGAACCTTCAGCTCCCTCCACAGATTTTCTATAGGATTAAGGTCTGGAGACTGGCTAGGCCGCTCCAGGACCTTAATGTGCTTCTTCTTGAGCCACTCCTTTGTTGCCTTGGCCGTGTGTTTTGGGTTATTGTCATGTTGGAATACCCATCCACGACCCATTTTCAATGCCCTAACTGAGGGAAGGAGGTTCTCACCCAAGATTTGACAGTACATGGCCCCGTCCATCGTCCCTTTGATGAGGTGAAGTTGTCCTGTCCCCTTAGCAGAAAAACACCCCCAAAGCATAATGTTTCCACCTCCATGTTTGACGGTGGGGATGGTGTTCTTGGGGTCATAGGCAGCATTCCTCCTCCTCCAAACACGGCGAGTTGAGTTGATGCCAAAGAGCTCCATTTTGGTCTCATCTGACCACAACACTTTCACCCAGTTCTCCTCTGAATCATTCGGATGTTTATTGGCAAACTTCAGAAGGGGATGTATATGTGCTTTCTTGAGCAGGGGGGACCTTGCGGCGCTGCAGGATTTCAGTCCTTCACGGCGTAGTGTGTTACCAATTGTTTTCTTGGTGACTATGGTCCCAGCTGCCTTGAGATCATTGACAAGATCCTCCCGTGTAGTTCTGGACTGATTCCTCACCATTCTAATGATCATTACAACTCCACGAGGTGAGATCTTGCATGGAGCCCCAGGCCGAGGGAGATTGACAGTTATTTTGTGTTTCTTCCATTTGCGAATAATCGCACCAACTGTTGTCACCTTCTCACCAAGCTGCTTGGCGATGGTCTTGTAGCCCATTCCAGCCTTGTGTAGGTCTACAATCTTGTCCCTGACATCCTTGGAGAGCTATTTGGTCTTGGCCATGGTGGAGAGTTTGGAATCTGATTGATTGATTGCTTCTGTGGACAGGTGTCTTTTATACAGGTAACAAACTGAGATTAGGAGCACTCCCTTTAAGAGTGTGCTCCTAATCTCAGCTCGTTACCTGTATAAAAGACACCTGAGAGCCAGAAATCTTTCTGATTGAGAGGGGGTCAAATACTTATTTCCCTCATTAAAATGCAAATCAATTTATAACATTTTTTACATGCGTTTTTCTGGATTTTTTTGTTGTTATTCTGTCTCTCACTGTTCAAATAAACCTACCATTAAAATTATAGACTGATAATTTCTTTGTCAGTGGGCAAACGTACAAAATCAGCAGGGGATCAAATGCTTTTTTCCCTCACTGTATCCTCGGTGTCAGGTTTCCTTGAGCACTGGTAGTTTTACGTTGATGTAATGTTGGTGGTGATAATTGGACAATGATTTACTTGATTCTGGTCAGCTTTAAGCAAAGTGCATGAATGTATTCTTGCCAATAAGTCTGTAGCCATATCTATTTTATGCTCACAGACCTGGTGGTGTAGCAGGAAATGTAGCAGGACATTTCAGATTGCTAGTGAATGAGAGGTTTTAAGTTGAAATCCCAAGTGTGGTCACAGTACGAAATAATACAGTATTTGTTTTACACTAATTGAAATCAGAATACAGCAGCATACTGCCATTTTATAGAAATAACACCTTCAAGTTTTGTATATACTTTAGGCAAAGTGCAAAAATGCATTTTTGGCAGCATACAGTACAGTATGTATAGCCTCTCCCCATTATGTCCACAGACCTGGTGGCTCAACAGGAATTCTGGTAGCAGCCAAGAGGTTGTGAGTTCAAATCCCAAGTGAGGCTGGTCCCAAGTTATCCAGGGGACCATGACACAACATTCTAAAAACATTATTCTCCACAAACAGGGAACTAGATAAAACTTGCAGGGGACGATGACTGATTGAATTAATGTCCATTATGCATTTTGAAATAAAATATTCTCAATGACATTTGACACAGGGTTTTCACATGTGCTCAAATGTCATCACATGTGTAAATTCATGGTATCACATGTTGAAATTTTGCATCCCCATGTTGTCACATTTATTTAACACGAGATCATGTTTTCACATGCTCACATGTTGTCACATGTTATCACATTAACATAAAGTAATGTCATCACGTGAAATGTGTTTTTTCCATAAGGGTTTAAGACAAATTAAAGTTATGAACAACTAGCCTATTTCCCAAATATTCTAATAGCCTAAGAAGTTACTATTGTCCTAAAGTTGCTGCTTTCAAAAAGAACAATAATGGAAGTCGGAGTCTATAGGCCTAGGCATAGGCTATTCTCAATCACAGCTTTATGAGCGATATAACAAACAATAGCCTATTTAAGAGAGGAGCAAAGCAATTATTATCCAGTTCTCAAGACTGCAGACTTTGCTTCTATCCAACCCATGATTTATAGCCTAACTCACTACGGTAAAACAGCCCGTTCCTCATCAGTTGTCTGTCACTTTGCTCCATCACGTGTGCGAGACGCAGACACAGACAGACACACCTGTTCCATGCTAAATGGCGCTGCCCATGCTGTCACAGACGCTATAATGGCACAGATACAAAGATGAGTCTTCTATCTCTATGGCCTGTTGTTCACACCTGTATGTGCCCTCTCATTGGCTAGAAAGGTCCCACCTGATCTCGCCTCCTCCCACCTGTCTTCCATCTTTGAGGACATGTATTTCCATCGTTAGAGTGGTCACTTAACTATCTTGTCAATGTAATATACAATCTTTGGAATAGTGACGCATAGAGGCAAAACCAGTGATGTATATAAACCCTGGATTGCCAACGCCATGTATTGGCCATTGAGAGACTTTGAACCCACAGATCGGCCATATTGGCACTCCCCAGTAGGAGAAGTCCTCCATAGGAATGAATAGAATTCTACAGTAGCCTATTTCAATTAAATGTTTCAAGGACAAAATTACATGTATTCAAGTATGTTTTGGTTGTAGCGGGGACAGTAACATTAGTCATCTCTAAAAAATTATACTTTAAGGAAAATGTTTTTATATATTTTCCATGTTTTATTTTTATGCTTAGCTCACATCATATAATTTAAAAGTATGCATTAACATGTCTTTAATAGAATAAACGTGGCAAAAACGAATGTAGACATTAATAAATGCATTTCTATCACTTCCAAAATATGTTTTACAACGGTGGGGGCGTGCCAAGATGGAAGCCAGTTGGCTCAACACAGCTCCCCCAATCAGACATCTAGTTTATATATAAGTCATTGGGCAAACCCCACTACTTCCCGCTCCTCACGTAGGCCTGCCCTACATGACCCCCACCCTTCCTGTGTTTTAACGCATTGCAACAGTCTGCTATAAAGTTCCATTCATTACAATATTGGGCATACGCCAATGATGGAATTTGAGGTGTAGGCCTATTGATAGGCTATGCACTATAATTTCCTTGTTCGCTAAAATCTTGGCACGTAGAGTTGAACATGCAGGGCGCGATAGATGCACACTTTATGACATTTCTGCGCCACGTTAACTACTCAACGATTGGAAGTCTGCAATGCAGGCTTCAGTATCCTCAAAGATGGTATCCTAACTTATTTGTTACTATAGGCTACATGTGTTTTATCGATTATAAGAGTGCATAATCACATTTCTTTGAATGGCGAGAAATTGTAACATAACTTCCAAATAATAATAATATGCCATTTAGCAGACGCTTTTATCCAAAGCGACTTACAGTCATGTGTGCGTACGTTTTTACGAATGGGTGGTCCCGGGGATCGAACCCACTACCCTGGCTTTGCAAGCGCTATGCTCTACCAATTGAGCTACAGAGGACCACATAACAAATAATTGGCCTATTCCACAAATAATGGTTAGGCCACTATATTTAAAATGTTTCTGTTGAATAGCTTAGACTATATGACTGTCAGTGTCCATACTCAACCATATCATCTGTTGCATTATTTTGTTGACCATACGAGAACAAATAGGCCTACTGTAAGATACATTTATCCTGTAGGCTAAACACTGCCAATGACAGCACTTGAAAAACGGATAACTCAACAGTTTGTTTCCCTTTTAGTATCATGTAGTTATTACACTGTAATCCATTTGATACAATATAACTCTTATCCACTTGTTTCAGTAACCGATACCTTGGGCATCTCCTCCGCTTGTCAGAACGCCGATGGATTTCCCGGCCCCAGAGAGATTCTCAAATAATTTCTTTGTGTCCTGCCGCTTCGCCATGGCTCCCCTTCTATCCTTCACAAATATAATATATGAATACCGGTTGTCTTATTTTGTTTTGAAATAAAATAAGTGCTGCAGTGGTTACACCCCTTTTCCTGCTCTCACACACTCATCTCCCCACCGTTCCCGATGGCAGCAGTGAGCATATGGGGGAGCTGTCCTCCTGTAATGAATTAATTGAAAGTGCTGTCATCCAATAGATTACTGCATCACGTATATTCCTCAAACTTTTCTGACCAATTGGGTCCGTAGAAACTACTACATAGACAAGAAGGTAGGGACTAGGAATGTTTCCACTACTTACCACAGCCACAAAGTCCAAAATGGATATAGATTTATTCTTTAAGCTTTTTGGTCTTAATTTAAGGTTAAGGTTAGGCATGAGGTTAGCAGTGTGGTTAAGGTTAGGTTCAAGGCTAGGGTTAGGTTTAAAATAACATTTAAATAAGATCAACTGTATAAATGGGCGGGGTTTATGACTTTGTGGCTGTGGTAACTAGTGACGACAGAGGAACAGTTAAACAGGAAGCAATGCCGTAATTGGCATTTTTACTAGTTTTAAACCATAGGCAAAAAAAAAAAAACTCAATGAATAAAAATAGGATGGATACAAATGTAGCAAAAATCTAATACAAGAAGGCACTTAAACAAATTGAAGTAGGATATTGACACGTGCCAGAGAATTGTGCAATAATAATGTCAGTCAAGACAGACATCTAGCTGCATATTGTATCTCTGCAGGCTGTTGTGACCCTCTATGAACGTACTTCTGCTTTCTAACCAGCAAGGAGCGCTCGAACCAAAGACAATGACTCCAAAGTTAGACAGGAAAACCTGAGAGTTGCTTATCGTTTGATGCTAAAACAGCATGATTTCTCTGGAAAAAACAACAACCAGAATAACACTAAAACAGCACCCCCAAATAAGTACATTTTTCTGTGTCAGATTTTTATGAAAAGGAGGGGGACAAATATTGGCTTGTAACTTATTGAGACTAGCCTACTCAATAACCCGATGGAGGCCACCCCTGGGGCAAGCTGGATGACTCCTGCCTGTACTCTGCTTTATTCGTATGAAAACATAAAGTCTGAACTTTACTTTAAAGTGGCAATCAGCAGTAGAAACTTTAACAAAGTGCACTCCCCGCCGCTGTTTCAGTACAAAGCTGATGGGGCTGGAGAAATGTAACCACTCTCAAATTCATAGACAGCGCTATGGATGCAAGGACTGGCCATCCATGATATCACAATGATAGTTTTAACAATGCTGTGTGGCTATAGTGCTTGTTTACATTTACATTGTTTACAAACATTGGAGTAAAACAGGCTTATATTTAGGGTTCTATTGGGGTACGGCAGTTGAACTAAGCTAATGAGGCATTTATAAGTTATATTCTTCAAGAATCAATGGATACATATCATTAATTTATAAGTCCAAAAATGGATGTAGCAACTGCTGATTTCCCCTTCAAATACAGTGCCTTCGGAAAGTATTCAGACCCCTTGACTTTTTCCAAATTTTGCTACGTTACAGCCTTATTCTAAAATTGATTCAATTGGTTTTTTCCCTCATCAATCTACACACAATACCCTATAATGACAAAGCAAAAACAGGTTTTTAGAATTTTTTGCTAATTGATAAAAATAAAAAAAATGAAATATCACATTTACATAAGTATTCCGACAATTTACTCAGTACTTTGTTGAAGCACCTTTGGCAGCGATTACAGCATCGAGTCTTCTTGAGTATGACGCTACAAGCTTGGCACACACACCTGTAAAATACAGTTGAAGTCGTAAGTTTACATACACCTTAGCCAAATACATTTAATCTCAGTTTTTCACAATTCTTGACATTTAATCTTAGAAAAAAATCCCTGTTTTAGGTCAGTTGGGATCACCACTTTATTTTAAGAATGTGAAATGTCAGAATAATAGTAGTGAGAATGATTTATTTCAGCTTTTATTTATTTCATCACATTCCCAGTGGGTCAGAAGTTTACATACACTCAATTAATATTTGGTAGCATTGCCTTTAAATTGTTTACCTTGGGTCAAACGTGTCGGGTAGCCTTCCACAAGCTTCCCACAATAAGTTGGGTGAATTTTGGCCCATTCCTAATGACAGAGCTGGTGTAACTGAATCAGGTTTGTAGGCCTCCTTGCTCGCACACGCTTTTTCAGTTCTGCCCACACATTTTCTATAGGATTGAGGTCAGGGCTTTGTGATGGCCACTTCAATACCTTGACTTTGTTGTCCTTAAGCCATTTTGCCACAACTTTGGAAGTATGCTTGGGGTCATTGTCCATTTGGAAGACCCATTTGCGACCAAGCTTTAACTTCCTGACTGATGTCTTGAGATGTTGCTTCAATGTATCCACATACATTTCTTTCCTCATGATGCCATCTATTTTGTGAAGTGCACCAGTCCCTCCTGCAGCAAAGCACCCCTACAGCATGATGCTGCCACCCCCATGCTTCACGTTTGGGATGGTGTTCTTCGACTTGCAAGCAACCCCATTTTTCCTCCAAACATAACGATGGTCATTATGGCCAAACAGTTCTATTTTTGTTTCATCATACCAGAGGACATTTCTCCAAAAAGTACGATATTTGTCCCCATGTGCAGTTGCAAACCGTAGTCTGGCTTTTTTAAGGCGGTTTTGGAGCATTGGCTTCTTCCTTGCTGAGCGGTCTTTCAGGTTATGTCGATATAGGACTCGTTTTACGGTGGATATAGATACTTTTGTACCTATTTCCTCCAGCATCTTCACAAGGTCCTTTGCTGTTGTTCTGGGATTGATTCGCACTTTTCGCACCAAAGTACGTTCATCTCTAGGAGACAGAATGCATCTCGTTCCTGAGCGGTATGACGGCTGCGTGGTCCCATGGTGTTTATACTTGCGTACTATTGTTTGTACAGATGAACGTGGTACCTTCAGGCATTTGGAAATTGCTCCCAAGGATGAACCAGACTTGTGGAGGTCTACAATGTTTTTTCTGAGGTCTTGGCTGATTTCTTTTGATTTTCCCATGATGTTTAGCAAAGAGGCACAGAGTTTGAAGGTAGGCCTTGAAATACATCCACAGGTACACCTCCAATTGACTCAAATGATGTCAATTAGCCTATCAGAAGCTTCTAAAGCCAGTATGAAAAAAAAATGTATGCACTCACTAACTGTAAGTCGCTCTGGATAAGAGCGTCTGCTAAATTATTAAAATGTAAAACTTTTAAAAAATGACATCATTTTCTGGAATTTTCCAAGCTGTTTAAAGGCACAGTCAATTTAGTGTATGTAAACTTCTGACCCATTGGAATTGTGATACAGTGAATTATAAGTGAAATAATCTGTCTGCAAACAATTGTTGGAAAAATTACTTGTGTCATGCACAAAGTAGATGTCCTAACCGACATGCCAAAACTATAGTTTGTTAAAAAGAAATTTGTGGAGTGGTTGAAAAACAAGTTTTAATGACTCCAACCTAAGTGTATGTAAACTTCCAACTTCAACTGTATCTTTGTATTGTCTGTATGTCAGAGCTCTCGGCCCAACACTCAAGAGTGGGTCGACCAGCCTCACTTAGTACCTTATTAATACTACTGACCAGCCAGCTCTAGCCTGGACAATTATCGGCCAGTCTGCACAGCGCGCTATCGACCCAGAACATATCTGATTTTCTGAGGGAATCACTGAATCACTGGACCTTTAACACCGGATCATCGCAACAAGCTAGCTGCAACCGAATGGATGTTGTTGTTGGCTAATCACCACTGTCCCGAAGCTAGCACCAGTTAGCCTTGAGCTAGCCTCGAGCCAGGCCCATCTCCCGGCTATCTACCTCTCTGTCAACCGGACGGGACCTCCTAGTGTCGACACGGAGCCCCGCCGATCCATCATGACTGGTCTGCCGACGTAATCGCCTGATGTGGTTTCAACAGGCTTCCCGTTGCAACGACCACTAAGATCCATCTGCTAGCCCCAGCCCGCTAGCACACGCAATCAACAGCCGTGCCTCCTGCTCGCCTGTGCCGTAGCAGCCATCGAACTACTCCTGGACTCACCTATTGCTGTTCACTGGACCTTATGATCACTCAGCTACACAGCTGATGCCTGCTGGACTGTTCCTTTACACGGTACCCCATCCTGTTTATCTGTCCTGTTTATCTGTTTAGCCTCAGCCCAAACTTTCGTCGCCATTACCAGTTGTTGTCTTAGCTCTCTCAAATAACACCTGTGATTGCTTTATGCCTCTCTCTCATGTCAATACGCATTGCCTATTGCTGTTTCGGTTAGTTCTTATTATACAATTTCACTGTAGAGCCCCCAGTCCCGCTCAACCTGCCTCAGATAGCTCCTTTGTCCCACCCCCCACACATGCAGAGACCGGCTCAATCGGTGCCTCCAGTGATGCTATCTCTTTCATCGTTACCCAACGCTTAGGTTTACCTCCACTGTACTCATATCCTTCCATATCCTTGTCTGTACATAATGCCCTGAATCTATCTGCCCCTTTTATTCTCTGTACCCAACGCACTAGAAGACCAGTTCTTAAAGCCTTTAGCCGTATCCTTATTCTACTCCTCCTCTGTTGATGTAGAGGTTAACCCCTGTAGCCCCCAGTATCACTCCTACTCCCCAGGCGCTATCATTTTTTGTTGTTATTCTGTCTCTCCCGAGTGGCGCAGTGGTCTAAGGCACTGCATCGCAGTGCTAGCTGTGCCACTAGAGATCCTGGTTCGAATCCAGGCTCTGTCGTAGCCGACCGGGAGACCCATGGGGCGTCGTCCAGGGTAGGGGAGGGAATGGCCGGCAGGGGATGTAGCTCAGTTGGTAGAGCATGGCGTTTGCAACGCCAGGGTTGTGGGTTTGATAAAATAATGTATGCGCTAACTGTAAGTCGCTCTGGATAAGAGCGTCTGCTAAATGACGTAAATGTATTAGTTGACTTCTGTAACCGTAAAAGCCTTTGTTTCTTGCATGTTAACATCAGAAGCC